ACAGAATCTGAAAGTTTGTGCTCTCGACATTGAGAAATGTGAAATTATAAGAGAAAATGGAGTAATTAAAGCAATGCCGCTTTGGTTTGGAATTGTCGATATGGAAGGAAATGTAATACTCAACGAACTTTGCCGATACCCAAAGAAAACAATTAAGAAAATGAATACATTGTTTCATGGACTCACATGGAACGAAATCAAAGGAGCAAAACACTATGGAATAGTGAGAAGAAAAGTAGTGGAAATATTGTCAGATTTTGACATAATCGTCGTTGCTGGTGGACTAACCGATTTCGATGCGATGGACTTCACCACCGACGATTGGAACATCATTGCACCAAAAGTGCGAGACGTCAACTATTACTACAATTGCCGTACAGAAAATGAACAAATAGCTCTTAAATATATTACATTTGCATTATTTGGAAGAGTCATTCAGGAAAGTGACCATTCACCTGTTGTGGACGCTTTTTACACATTGTTAACCTACTTAGTGGATTTTGAAAGATTCGAAGAGGTATATGACTCAGCGTTAACACGAATCGTGTCAATCAAGCCATTCCCTCATATACGATATCCACCGAATGAACAAATGGCTAAACTGTTAATCGATATCATGGAAATAACCAACGATTGGCCAGACGAATTAAGACGAAGACCAATAAAGAGTTGGCCATGGTCAAAATCATTTGATCCAGAAAAGATCATCGAAACCGATTCGGTTCAATTGGTACCACCATATTCGGAAGTGGACTTGGAATGGTTCAAGAAATTTAGAAAAATTCGATCAACTGTTTCTAAAGTTCAATCCAAAGAATTCCAACAACATCGTTGATCGGAGGCATTTGGACTTTGGAAAAACCCGACATCCAGGACGCCGAATTTTATAAAGTCACTCTTTGACACCCCAATCAACGTCAAGGAGGGGGCTCTGTTAGGGATATACTCATTACCATTATACTTTATTCAATTTTGTAACTTTCCCTCAATTTAATCTTATCTAATTCATTCAATCACTAGGGGCGTTGCTAAGCCAATTGTTTAAATACAATTGTCCAGCAACTAATTGACACACATTTACATGTGCTATTTGTTTAATTACATTAGTCAACCCTCATTGTTTAATTAAGCCTCAACCCCTTTCCCATGCTTAATTAAGCTACCTTCAAAGACCCTTGTCCCTTCCCTTATCCTCTGACCGTTGTGAACTTTAAAATAATTTGTGATTCTGTGTTTTGTGTTTAATAAAGTAATTCAATAACTCTTAAAGACGACTACGATTTCTGACTAGTGTAATTCGTAACAATTATTATTAATAGTTAATTAGATCAACTTGATGATGATACTTGATTGTAACAATTATCATTGAGTAATCGTGTTGATTGAAACCTTGATTTAAATTTTCTCTCGCTGATTTAGTTAAATAAATACAATTGAAGTGAATTAACAATCAACAGTAATTAAAGTAAACTGAATCAAAGTTAAATTGATTCCTTTGAATTTGATTAAATTGTTTCATCTAACAATCAATGAAATTATTGTTTCTAATCAAAGCATTTAGCCAACTTTTTTTTTTGCTAATTTAGTTATTGGATTACAATTAAATTGATTGTTGATTGTTAGAAATTAATATTTAAACAAAAAAATCAAAGCCTCTTGAATTAATTTAGATAATTGAAATTACAATTGTTAACTTAATCACGAAAAGTTTTTTCATTCAAACGCATTCATAAAGTTAATTGTGTTTAATTTTCATTCTTAGTTAGTAGTTAAACTTAATTGTTCACTTAATTGTTACTATTACAACAATCTAATTAAAACACAAGAAAAAAATTCTGATCTGATAGTAAAGGTGATGATTATTATTATTGATAATTACTTAATCATCGTAATTAACTAAGTCAATCTAGTTGTTGGTGAAAAATTAATTATCATTACAATTAACAGGTTGAAGTAAAACATTATGTAGGCTTAATTGTTAGCTAATCTAATTTAATTTGATGAGAAGATGATTAAATTGTTACCATCTATGATTATCTTTAATTGATGTTTTCATGGTTATCAAATCAATTAATTGTTCAATTCAATAAATGAAACCACAATTTAAGGTCTAATTTTTCATTGAATTAAACTTGATCAAATTAAGATTGTCTCTCAATTAACTGATAATTAACAATTAATGTAATTAAAACAATTGAAATCAATTTTTGTATCTATAAACAATTGATTTAATCATTTGAAATACAAAACAACAACAATTAAGGTGGAGCTGATTTAATGGGAAAGGTTTAATTAAGTTAATCATGATTAAAACATCAATATTATTGATGTATAAATTTAATTATTATTAGTTATTAAAACTGTTATAGGATAAATTAAATTAAATTAAATTTTACATTGGACACAATTTAAGTTAAATCAAATTGTAGCTTTAATTGTTAATCAAGACCAATTAAAAGCCTACGCTAATACAAATACACACACACATAGTGACTAAACAAACAATTAACTAATGATAACAATCACAATCAAAATGATAATAACAATTTTCAATAACAAGAAGACAACAATTTAAACTCCCAGTAATTATTAATGATAATGATTATGATTAACTAACGTTGTGTGTGGCTTAATTGTTGCCATTTACCAGATTAAGTTATCATTTTGTTGATTATTAGATTCATGGGTTTGGTTAATTGTTAACTGATTGTTATCATTGATTCAGGTCAGTTTTTTTTATTAATTTTAAATCATTATCATTGTAAATTGTTAAGGGTTGGTTGTATTCAGGAAATTAAATTAATTAATGGTTGATAACAATTAAGTTAATCAACTTTTCTCAATTTCTCTTTGCTCCTGTTTATTATCATTATTGTTGTTTAATCAATAGTAAATTCAATTGTAAGACTTAATTGTTTGCATGATTTACATGTTATTCACTCTCAATGTTGATTTTTAATTAATTTAATTTAAATTTTTACTCTTGTTATGATTATTTAATTGTAATTCAAGTTTAACCTTGTTAACTAATTGATTTTTCTGTATTATTTTCTTTCAGTTTAAAACTTTTGAACATTAATTAAGATGAAATCATTTCAATCAATAAACTATGATGATCATTATTAATTGTGAATAATGTTTGGTGGCTCAGTTCAATCACGATTTACTGATTGCTGTTGAAGGAATTGAATTGCTCGTAATACAATTAGAAGACAACAATTTAACCATTAACATGTAAATAGATTTTCATTATCTTAAAACAATACAATGCGATCTATGTAAAAGTTAATTACTAATAAAGGCTGATTGTTAAAAGAAGAGATTTGATTTGATTAGTGCAAATATTCATGTAAAATATCACTGAAATTTACATGAACAACTTTATGTTTCTGGAATGACAATCAGATGACAACTTTTCCTCAATAAGAGCCTCAACTGGGTCACCTCAAAGAAGAGAGGTAGAACCAGATCGACTAGTCGGTCGGAGGAACCCTTCCAAGCCCTCGGAGCCTTCAGAGCAAAGGGAAGAAAGGAAAGGTCCAAGGTCTCTAATTGTCGGGGGACCGTCTTCGTCCTCTGAAGTTTAAACTAGTTTTTAGATCCTTCAAATGTCCAAAAAGGCCACTTCGAAAGTTCAAAAAATGTAAAAATCTGCCTCAGATTACTACGGAATCCTAATTGATATTATTTTGAAGCTTAATCTCTCTTTGAATGATAATTTTTTCATAACTAACTAATCATTGGATTTCGAGTAAAAGTAATTTAAAACATCACCCATATTGATACACTTGATACTTTAAGTTGAGATTTTCGGCTAACTTATAACGGGAATTGATTGGAAATATTCAGAGAAATTTGTTTAATGATAGAAAATATTGATAAATTAGTTGGTTTTGGTTAAATTTGGTTGTCGAGGTGGAAAACTAGGTTTATATTCAAAACCAAAGTCGAAAGTGATATTTAAAAGTTACGAAGGATTTTTAACTAGGTTACCATTATTGGTCTAGAAAATAAAAAATAAAGGTCAATCGATAAGCCAATCAACATGATTTTCGAAATAATTACATTCTAACAGTTATATCAATATAATTAAAGAGTTTCAGATCGTAATATTTAAGTCACTAGCCCAATATAACAATTTAATTCCAATGAGAAGGCAAAGAATTCAATTGTACTGAAAAAAATACGAAAATCGTATTATTAATATTCAAATTTAGTATGAGTTTGACATTCTCAAGTTGAGAGTTAATTGAAGTTCCAACCATCACAAATGTCAATGAGACATAGAGCGATCGACAAGATCAAGTCTTTCATGACCTTAATCGGTGTCGGAATTTGATTAAAATCCCACTTAGTATTCATGATAACGAATAACATTAAAAAACAACAATTTCGATTTGCGTTTCATTAAAAGATTTGACTGCTGCCATCTAAAGATTGAAATATGAGAGATTAAATTAAACTCTCACCAAGATAATCTCAATAAAAGTAAATATCTCCCTTAAAATCCAGACCAATCGACCGACCGATCGACCAATAACGAAACTGAATAAGAAATTCAAACACTATCCATAGTATCAGCTGATAATCGATGTAATAACAGTTTGGCTTTTTTATTGTTCGAATTGAAAAATCGAACATCAATTCTATTGGAAATTCGAAATTCGCGGGTTTCAGTTTATTCTCATTCGGTTAGGGCTCCTTTTCTTTTCTTTTGCAAATTTGTTTCACTTTCCACCTCATCTCTCATCTTTGTGCAGTTTTTTTCTCTCTCTCTCTTTACTGTTCTCTTACATTTAATCCCTTTTTAGAAAAGTAATAAATCACTAATCACATCACAATGTCGTCTCCGGGTGATTTTGGTAATCCCTTGAAAAAATTCAAATTGGTTTTCTTGGGGGAACAATCAGGTTGGTGTCATTTTCTATTGAAAAGTGTCCATTTACATGGACATGATATTTTTCATTTCCTTTTTGTTTCCTATTGACCTTTTTGATTTCTATTGTGTGACGATTGTTTTCTCTCTCTCTTTACTGTTCTCTTACATTTAATCCCTTTTTAGAAAAGTAATAAATCACTAATCACATCACAATGTCGTCTCCGGGTGATTTTGGTAATCCCTTGAAAAAATTCAAATTGGTTTTCTTGGGGGAACAATCAGGTTGGTGTCATTTTCTATTGAAAAGTGTCCATTTACATGGACATGATATTTTTCATTTCCTTTTTGTTTCCTATTGACCTTTTTGATTTCTATTGTGTGACGATTGTTTTCTCTCTCTCTCTCTCTCTTCATTTATTACCTTGCTCTGTTGTTTTCCTTTCATCATCACATCACCATATAACTTTCATCCTGGAAACAATCAACTCATCAATTCCAATTGATGCATCTCACAATGAAACAATCTAATTTCTCTTCACCGGTTTTCTCTACTTCTCTTGCATCTGATTGAACAAAACTCTTCATGTTACCATCTTTGGACCATTTTACTTAATTGGACGATCTAATTTCAATTAGTTGGCAAAACATCTTTGATTACAAGATTTATGTACGATACATTTGATAATACTTATCAGGCTACGATTGGTATTGATTTCCTATCTAAAACCATGTACCTTGAGGAAAGAACAGTAAGTTGACAGTTGAATAATATCTCTCTTTTTGTCACCTCAGCATGTTTCTTGTTACATCTATAATAAGGAGATTAATTTTCCTCTGTTCTTTTTCCTTGATTGTCTTCTAATTTAGGTTCGCCTGCAATTATGGGATACAGCAGGTCAAGAAAGATTCCGAAGCCTTATTCCAAGTTATATTAGAGACTCAACGGTCGCAGTTGTCGTTTATGACATAACAAGTATGATTACCATGGTTCTTGTGAATCTTTAATCTATTTCATCTTAATTTCTCAATAATTGATTAATCCAATGAACTATTTTTTTTCTCTATCTCTATTTATAGATGCCAACTCATTCCATCAAACCTCTAAATGGATCGATGATGTAAGAACTGAGAGAGGTAACGATGTCATCATTATGTTGGTCGGTAATAAGACTGATTTGCAGGATAAAAGGTTGGTGTTCTCTATCCATCTCTTTCTCTCTCTCTCTCTCTCTCTCTCTCTTTTCTTTTTCTTTTTCATACCTTAATTCATTGCACCAGAAAATTAGTCATGTCAAGGTTATAATTCTCTTCCTTTCATCTCTACTTGAGAACTGACAACAACAACATTCCACTCTAATCCTCTCTCTCTCTCTCCCCACCAGGCAAGTTTCCACTGAGGAAGGTGAAAAACGAGCCAAAGAATTAAATGTAATGTTCATCGAGACAAGCGCTAAATCAGGTTATAATGTAAAACAAGTAAGTTCCATCTTGATTGTTAATCGTGATGAAAGAAAAATTTAATCATATGTCCATATTTAGATTATTATCGTTTTAATTCATGACAATTAACTTTCTTTCTTTCTTATCCTCACATTAGCTTTTCAGAAGAGTTGCTGCAGCATTACCTGGAATGGAACAAACATCTAAAGTTAAAGAAGATAGTAAGTTAATTTACTAATTACTTTTCTTAATTATCCTTAGAAATCTTTCAGATTCACCAATAAAACGAGATTAAGTTAATGTGTCTTCCCAAGTTCCTTAGCTATTTATTGCTTAAATTTCCATATTAACCTGAATCTCCTTTTTCATCATTACAGTTTATTGCACTTTATACATGTTTCATGTTGTCACTTGATTGTAGACTAATTGTTGACTTATCCAATTGAATACTAATTGTTTGATTTTTCTCCATTTTTCTAGTTGTGGAAGTTGACCTAAAGGATACTCCAAGTGAAACACCTAGGGATGAAAATAGCTGCTCCTGTTAATATTTTTATTTATCACTTTGCTAAAGCAACCAAAAGCACATTCACTTTCCAATCTAAATTTAACAATTAAACATCCAACATAAACCCAATACCATCAGTGATTTAACAACACGGATTTAAACTAAACTGTTTTTCAAATCCATTGGAAATCTCATAAATAATTCATAGGAGAAACAAACATTAACCCTTGATGATGCTTAAAATGAAAGAAACAAAAAAGTCCTCAACATGATGATCCGTCTTTTATATATTTACACCTTCTGATATTCATTGTAAAGTAATATAATTCAATCTTTGCTCCATGGAAAAGGATAACCAGGCAACTCTCTCCTATCTCCAATTCTTTTTGCATCAACAATATTCGTCTTTTTTTCTTGGTACCGTTTTTTTTTAAAAATCTAACAATTTTTCGTTGATTTTCACACTTTACTATTCACAATCATCTTAGTTCTCACATGAGCTCATTTTTTACCTTTAATTTACCAATTACATACCAAGTGGATCCTACACTCATAAACAGAAGGAAGATGAAATGATGAAACGGAAAAAGAGGATTGGCCATTTTTTAATGTAAATCTTTGAAAATTGGAGCAAAACAAACGGCATGCAAAACATTGGATGAAAAGAATAATTTGTTTATAAAGTTTTTTTTGTAATTTTGTTTGGAAAAAAAAGAAACGATCAACATTCAATAATCAACGTGCTAATTACAACAATTGTAACCTCATCATCTTCGAGATTCATCAATTTTATCGTGAAGCTTTTGGATTAATCAACTTGGAATCTTCATAATCGCGATCATTTGTCGTTACAATCAAAAGAAAAGATTGAAAAAGCTCATCTACAAACTGTGATTAGTTAATTACTGGTTTAAATGATAATCAGTGTTAAAGGTTTAATATCAATTAACCTTGAATAACTATTGTCATTTAAATACTTATGAAAGAAACCCGGTAATCACTTTTCATTGAAGATGAGCATCATTATCTTCATCTTTCTCCTCTTTTAATCAAGTTAATCTATTAAAATCTTCCAAGTGATTTAGTTGATTATAAAATCAAACGGATAGATTTTTTATCGAGCGTGATATTGGCCTTTAAAACGGATCACATATCAAGTGAATCAGTCGCTAATTTAGTCAACGTATATAAAAATATGAGCGTTATGCAAATGATTATTGACAACAACAATTAAAACAACGACAATCAATAAGTGATTTTTAATTATCATTCAAATGTAGTCATCAAATTAACATTATTACCCGAAAAAAAAAAATCGGAAAACAATCAACTCATTAGACCATAAAAATCATACAGTAAATTGATTCACAATTAACTAATCAATCAGAAAGTAAAACAAGAAAAACAAATCCATTGATCCAAATTTAATTAAGTCCAGTTAATAATTACAATTAGTTGATAAAAACTACAAAAGTAAAGTTAAAAAGTAAAATTTACTTCAATTAATCATTAATTCAGTTGATTAGATTAACTAATTACGCTTGATGCCTGTAAATCCTCCTGTAGGGATTTAATAGATTACATTAATTAACAGTTGTGGTGATGATGATTAGTTGAACACAAATTTAACCAGAGAATAATTTTCGATTACAATTAAAGTTTAATTGTTAGCGGTTCGAGAAAATAATGAAGTTAATGGATTCGCGCTGGAAATTGAACTAATTGTACCAAAAACCGAATCTCGAAGTGAAGTGAACAAATTAAATATCGGTGAAAATAAACCACCGGAGGAATTTAATCGAGTTGAATTAGTTGAATTAGTAAAGCCCGAAATTAATCCAGTTAAGCATCGAGGCTTAATTATTGGTAAACTGTTGTTACCGTTAATCAGATTTGATCCATTGGTTGATGATTTGATTTCCTGTTGACAATTAGCTTTTCCAATGAGACAAAAGATGAAAAAAAGTGAAACAATTAGCAAATAGTAACAATTAACTTTCATGTTTGATTGATTATTTATCACTTTTAGCAAGAAAATTTAAAAAGTAATTCAATTTAATTGGCCGATAGTTTAACACAATTAAAGTTTCGCAAACTGATTGATTGTTAGATAACTATTGATAGTGATTATTATGATTCGATAACAATTGGTAATTTAACTGTTAATTTTAATCATAATTGAAACTGATGTTGATTGATTGTTGCAATGAAAACAAATTGATTGATCAACTTTTACCATCAAATTATTAATAATTTATCCTTGGACAATTTATATTATTATTAATTGTGATATGATGATTAATTTACTAACTAAAGGTTTACAATTGTCAAAGTTAATCACAATTAAGTGTCTCGTTTATTCAGAAAAACGTTTTCATAAGGAAAGTGTGCAATTAGAATGACAATTAACCAATTGCAACAATTAACTCAAGGTAAATAAACTTTTCTATTATCATTTTGTTTACAATTAACTTTTCTGCTTAATCATTTTAACAATTTAACTAATCATCAATTTGACCACCAAGATCAGGGTTAAAGACAATTTAATCATTGTAACAATTTTAATTAACTTTTCTTTTCAAACTGGACAATCAAAGTTTGATTAGTTGATTAGTTAATAACTGAATCAAGGTTGTTAACCATTAACAATTAAAACAAATGGTACAAAATTAACCAGATTTTCATAAATTATCATACCAACTTTAATTTTGGTTTAATTAAATTAGATGATAACAATTAGCTTTCCATTTAATTGTAGTCTCTACTTTGAACATCAAACCTTTAATCCTGACAATTTAAACGTACAGTTAATCACTATGAACAATTTAATTGCGATCGGATTAATTACATTTTTAACTCTATCAACTGGTAAGTAAAACTTGATACAAAATTTTTTAATTGTCTGTTAATTGTTAATATGATTAATCTTCAGGTTGGTCTTCAACAATTATCGGTGATAATGATTTCGTTGATTTGTGTCGACTCTTTAATCAGTTGATTGTTTCGGGTGTTAAACCTGAAGACGCTGTTAATCAAGTTGCTAAACAATTTATCTCGTCTCTATTATCTTCAAGTGATCAATCATCATCAACAACAATTAACTTTGAAGGTAAATTAAGATCACTTTCAGATCCATTTACCGGTCAATTTGTATTCCAAAACGAAACTGTTAATGCGGCTGATTTCCTGTTCGGATCATTAAATCATCTTTTTAATTATCTTCTAACAATTAATTCTGGTGGTGAAATAATTGATTCCGTTGATAGTGATGTTGTTATCATAGGTAAAAGATCAGCAATTAACCGTAATTTAAATTGTGATAATTTACCAACTCAGGGTATCTCATTTAAAGTTGATTCACTTAATCAATCGATGGCCGATACTTACCTCAAACAATTAGAGGACAATTTAATTTTACTTTAAACTTTGTCAGCAATTGAAGTATCGATGAATTAAACAAAACAATCAATAAATTTGATTTTTGATTAACAGCAAATGTTTCAAATACTTAATTGGTCATTTACAGTGTTGATTGTTAACAATGTCACAGAAATACAATTGAAAAAGTTATATAATAAGAAAAACAAATTAGTAGTTTTTTTTTCAACTACAACAATTTAAATTGTAAATTAACTCAATATTTATATAAAATAGTTGATTTGTCTTAATTTAAATTGTATTTATATAAGTTTGAGATTATTGAAAATAATGAAATGTAAGAAAAATATAATAACGAAATTGTCACTGAGTAGGTTGATCGATATGTATTTTGAACTTGATCGCGTTAATTGTTGATTATTACTCATTGAAAGCTTCCAAAATTCTGTTGAGACAAACACGAGCCGCTCTGCGACATCTTGGACTTGACCATGATAGCGCTAAGAATCCATGGCCCAGGTCATCGATTACGTCGAGTTTTATTTTTCCAGGCCATCTTTGTGCGAATTCAATGTTTGTATCAAGGAATGGATCAAATTCACCAACAACCAGGTAAATGTTCAGATCTTTAATTAGGTCAAGATCATATGAAATAAGCGGAGCTTTGTAAGGTGTTAATGCTGCTTCGGAAATTTTCTCGACCCGTTCATCTAGAGTTTCTTTATCACATTCGAGCCAATTTTTTCTCTTCCCCATCCAAGTGTTGTAAAATGCTTGCCATCGATCGGGTTGAAGGTATCGAGAGGCATCAGGGGAATCAAGGTTAGTACATTCAGAGTCAAAAATGACACCCGATGAGTATAAAGATAGACAATTGAGAATCGTTAATGGGGTCAAAAATTGGTCCAAAAATGACAATATTAACGAAGGTTGAACAGTTGGAAATGTGATCGAAAGCACTGGATAGAAAGTAACCAATGCCTTTGGGTATAAATGATCGGGAAAAGGTTTCTTTGTATTTATAAGTGAATATGATGATGACGGTGACGATGAGAGAATTTGAATGTCACGGATAATAGTTGCCAAGGAGAAGAAGAATAATCCACCAGCTGAGTCTCCACAGAATATAATTTTCTTTGGAATAAAACCAAGAATCGACTCGACATCGTTCGTTTGATAGTTGGTTAGCCAAAGAAAAACATCAAGAAGTTCTTGTACTTGAACAGGATAACGAACATATCGAGAATAAACAACATCAAGAATAACAGCTCCTTCTAATTGTGGAGTCCAAACACGGAAACACTGGTCAAAAACGGAAGGCAGTTCAACAGTAAACGCGCCTCCTTGTGCATGTAAGATAATATTACCATTCGGCTTAGCACCGGCTTGGTGAATCAATCGACACTTCAATGGTTTCAACTTATCCCCCGTCGAAACATCAGCCGGAATAAACTTTACTTTACCATCTCCATCTTCCTCGTCAAAGGGAATATGCCATTCGGTTTGTCGATTGTCGACCAAAATCTCTCTTACATGAAGACCATGATATTTGCATGATAACCAGTTGATACTTGAGGTTAACGGATTGTTCAGATAATTAACCAAATTGAGTGGAAAATAAGGATTAGCTGAATGAAGTAAATCTTCCTGCCAATGGCCATGAGCAGAACGAGAAACCAAGGACATCAATGAATAAGGTAAATTACTGAGAGACGAGGATGCAAGTGAGAAAACGGATGAGAGCCATTGAGAATCTTCATCTAACCAAAAAGCGGGATAACTGGACCAATAAGCTTTGATTCCATTGGTTATTTTATCTCTCGACTCTAAATAAGTATCGAGTAGGTAAAGTGTCGCATGTTTACCAGTACCAATTGATTGTCCGGGAATAAATATTCTGCTTACAATCTCAATCAAGTGAGTTAACATCTCGGTTATTTGTATTAAAGGTTCAAAGTCGATACTTTTACCATCGTCTTTTTTAAGGCCACTTTCAACATGGTAAACAAATTTACTGACAACTTTGATCAAACTTTTAACACCATTATATTGTGATACTTTGTTTCCATGGTAATTGTTGTTATCATCGTTTAAAGGAGTTGCTTTAACAATTTGATTGTCATGAATACCAATATGATCATAATTAACTGCTGATGTAGAGATTTGTTCACACAATAAGCTTAATTTGGACCAATCATTGTACAATTGATGGATAAATTGATTTCTACTTTTAGCACCATCATCTTTAACTTTCAACGTTTTAACCAATTGTCTAATTGTTTTTAATTGCTCTCCAGTCAGATCATGATGAGTATTATCAATGAAACCAATCGGTTGACCATTGGATGATTTACCTTTGTCCATTTCGTTCAATGTAGTCAAGGTAAAGGTGTAAACATAAGATAATAAGATTAATCCAATAGACACTTGGGTTGATTGTTACACTTAAGGTTTAACAATTAAACCTTTTGATTAAGGTTGTGGGCTGGTTGATTATGTTTGACAAAATTGATCCACAGTTTTAATGGAGCATCAATTTCCTTATGCTCCGGATTGAACAGATGATCAGGTGAAGAAATTGATTATTGTTTTGGTAGACAATCAATTGTATCGATTTCCAATTTGGTGTTGATTTGATTTAACTTGATTGAGAAGATAAATGTTGATTTAAATGATGAGTGATTTGAGAAAATAAAGAATATTAGTAAACAAGAGAATAGAAATCAACTAATTTGGATGTTGGAAGCTGAATAAACGCTCAGCCGATTTATCATCAGATTCCAATGATAATTTTTTGTCTATGGAAATGGGACGTTAAAGAGAGATAGAGAGAGATTATAATTAACGAAAACTTGATTAATCAATGGGAACAGGGGAAGAAAATTAACAGAATTAACAATGATTTCGTTGAAGCTTCAAGCAATAACAATCAAGTGTAGGAAAGCCTAGAGCATGAGAGAGCAACCGGTTGGTTGAATGTTGGAACAATAAAAACTTTACTTTAAACCTTGAATACAGAATTTGATTCTTAAATTGTAAGAAAGGTTGACCATCTCATTAAGTGATTGAGCAAAGAAAAACGAAAAGATAAATAATCAAATCAATTGATAGTAGTGATTAAATCAAGATAAACATAGAAAGATACACAATAAGTAACATGATGAAGAGAAAGTGGAAATTTTCAAGAGGGAAAACACTAAATCCTTGACGATCCATTTTCCTGATTTAATCAGTTAAACATAATTAACAATCAATAATTCAAAGAATAAGAATACTAATAATAAATTATTTACAATTAATTCAATTAGTAAATAACAATTTAAGAAATGATTTCAAGGTTGACAGAAAGAAAAACAAATTGACAACTAACCCCATCTAATATGAGAATCAACAACCAACCAATTTTAGTTTAATTGTTAACAATTAGCAAGTTTAATTCTGACAATTTTGTTCGTATGTTTATTGTTTGTATGGTTAATTGTAATCTCTCGTTGATGATTAGAAACCAATTGGATTAGTTATTATTTTTATTCACTTTTTATCTCATCAGCTTATCTTAATTCTGGTGATTTATTGATTTAATTGTTACTTTCTCTCAACTATTGGCCAAAATTGTTGTAACATTCTAATATCATAAACTGACCCAACACGGAACTAGGAGGCCACAAGTAGGAGGTTCCGTTAAGTGGCCTGATCTTTGGGTCTAACCAATAGCAGGTCACTCAGGTGATTTTTTCTTATTGACCAGATAACATCTCATATCGATTATCAACTTAACTTGAACTAAAATTATCTCAATTATCAATAAATCAGCAGAATCTTCCTCATCTTTTGTCGTCATCATCATTCAACAATTTCATTATTAATTGTTAGTTAATTGTCGTTCCATTAACATCAAGCAAATAGTTAAATGTACATAAAATAAATTGTGATTGTATTTTGAACTCTTCCAGTGATTCATCACCATAATCATCAATTAACCTCATTGAAATTGAGATTTCACTCTACAATCAAATCTCTCTAAATACTTAATTGTTACTATTGATTAGTCATCAATTGTAATTAAATTGTTATTTTACTTCAAATCAATCACACAAGGAGATCAACAAATTCGAGGTTACAATCTAATCCAAGGTAATTAACTAATTATATTTTCTCTCTCTCTCAATACTTTTACTAGATTAGTCTAATTTTCAATTGTTAATTTGATTTATATCCTTGAGTTTCTAACATTAGTGACATTTACTTGTTAATTATCATTCATCCTAATCAAAGATAAATTGTCTTAAGTAAACAATTAATATGAATGAAATTCCGTTTACCTATTGATCAACTCGATAATTAAACTCCATCCAGTTTTCCAGTTTGATGATTAAATTGATTATCTTTAACTTTCTCTTTTCCAATACAATTAACATGAAAAGAACGAGAAAAATTGTCACAATCAAATCACATTAGAACCAAATCAATGTTTCAACAATCAATCTAAATAAATGATAGAAATCAACATCATACGTTAATTGATTATCTCAACAAGTGATTAGACCAAAGATATAAAATGATAGATATAATTACATTTAGTTGATTGTTAACTAATCACCACAATTATACTGTTACTTTTTTTTCACCATCACTTTAAATGATCAACAATTAATGATTTATATTTTTTTTCTCGTTTAGATTAACAACTTTATCTGTTTCAATTGAATCGGATCAATTGTGATTATCAAACGAAACCATTTTATAAACTTAATTGTCAACTAATCATTAGTTGACGTTGGTTGAAAGTGTAAACATCATATTCACAATCAGCTTAATTTAATTACCACAGTGTTGTTATTAATATATTCCCCTGGCCTAAGTAATTTACTACATATACTAAATCATTTCGTAATTGTCTATTAAATTATTACAAAATTTGACCATCAAACATTTGCCAATCAAGATTTAAATTGCAATTAGAATCATCAAAAAGTTGTCTATGTAATCAAGTAACCAGTTGAACGGGCTCATGAGGAAACAATTCCTTAAATAATTTAAACAGCAAAACCCCGTTGATTGTAATCAGTGTTAATTTAATTTAGCTGTGTTCTCCGTCGTTTAATTGTTAACTTGCCAATTATCACAGTTTCAAGATTAACAATGACTTCAATTAAAATTCAACAATTGATTACAACTTTAAACTCTAGTCTATTTAAAGATGTGCCTGAACAATTAATGGATAACCTTTATCATTTGGGACAATTAACTAAGGAGATTGAACAATTTGCTCCTTCTTATGATTATAATGATATTCAATTCAATGGATGTCGAAGTTTATTGAAAATTATCGATCAAATTTTACCAATTATTAAGGAAACCCTTTTATCGGCCAATGTCCAGCTTACTGAACCTTTGATCGAGGTGGTCAGTTTATTTGTTGATTTGTTTACTATGGTTGTTGATCTACATCATGCAAATTTAACATCAATCAAAGGATCAACTTCTTGGCATTTGGATAATTTCATCTCATCTCGATCTAAGGTTCAGAATAAGATTAAAACTTATTGGAAACATTTCTCCTTGTTTTTCGTTGAACCTCAATCTCGATCAGCACTTCGACTTTTTGCGTTTTTTGCTGGCCTCATCTCGGGATTTCCCAATTCTCTATCCAGCTTAATCTCACCAGATTCAAATTACTCACGAATGTCCGAGATTCTCTATGGAGCCAATGCTTTTTTCCCTCTTTCGATATTAAATGCGGCCAACAATCCATTAACCTCAGCCATTAGTACATTACATTCGTATTACCATCGAACCGAGATTAAAAAGTTAACCATCTCACGACAAACTGATTGGATGATTCCAAAGTCAGGAAAAGGACGAGTTACATTCTGTCCAACTGAACCTCCATTTGATAGTGGGAATAACAATTTTGTAACCTGTCGACTTTTGACCTACACTGGACTTGAACCTTCGGGTGATTTAGTTTTCCATGTTCGTGGAGGTGCATTTGTCATTGATGTTCCTTTACTTCATGACACTTATCTCATGGAATGGATTCCTCACCTTGGTGGAGCGGTCATTTTAGACGTTGACTATACACGTGCAGTCAGATACCCGGTGGCACTTCAAGAGATACTTGATCTTTATTTATGGTTGGTCACTCAAACAACAAAGGTAACGGAAACTCTTGGGTTTACACCTCGTCGAATTGTTTTCTGTGGTGATTCTGGTGGAGCTTATCTCCTATTCACCTTGGCAGCGGTTCTACGAGACATTCAACAAGTATCCCAAGAATCTGTTCCAATCTTTCCTACCGCATTCGTTGGATTTTATCCCATTTTCTCCTTCAATCATCAAGGTAAAATACCTTCTTTGGTGATGGGATTTCTCGACACTTTCCTCAATCTGAATACCGTTTATCAAGGTCTTTCATTGTACGCATCCGGGATTACTTTTGATTCAGACTTTGAAAGCTCATTAAAGACATTAAATGAACATGATGGAATATCTAACAAGACGATAAAAAGTTCATCATACAATCATGATAACAATAATAACCAAGATTCCAATAGGTACTCGAAAGATTCACAATGGGAACGAGTTTATAACACTTGGTTCAATTCGGATAACAATTGGTACACTTGTGATAAAATGAATTCGATAGAAGAAGTTCAAAAATTGTCACCGATTCCAAGTTACCATATATTTCCCCGATGGTTTCTTACGATATTAACACACTAGACGATTTACCGATTTATATGGTTATCGGTGAATTTGACCCTTTCCTTGATATGACAATAGATTATGCTAAAAATTTGAGCGGGAAAGTAAAACTTGACATTATGCCCGATTTACCCCACGGATTCCTAAATATGACCCATTTCAGTGACGCTTCTCACAAAGGGTCCAAATTTTGTCTTCAAAAACTAATCGAAGCACTTGAATTTTAAAATGAACCAATTTTTGTTACCCTATCAACAAAGATAGAATGACCATCTCGCATTAACAAATTATTAGTAAATTTTTAACGAGGTTTAGTACCTTTGATTTATGATTAATGTTTTCGTTTACACTAATTATTAATACACTATTTTAAATGAGCTGATTGATATCGAACATAAATACTATGAATATTATAATTTTATTCTCTAAATACAAGTGGCAGTGGCTGCAGCAGCAGCTCGTTGCTTGACCACTTTCTCGGCTTCTCTCATCATTGCGTCGAATGCATCTTCAGCATTGATCGGAGCGGCCGGTGGTTGATCATCATCAAAAGCAAATTCATCACTATCGCGAGCCAATTGTTCAAAATCTATATCAGGTTTACCATTTCGAATAGTGTTTAGTGGCAAATTATGACGCATGTTGTGAACGAACATTTTAATGGGCCTTTTACGTCCAATTATCTCAGTTTTCTTGATAAAATCATCGAATTTCATTTTAGGCATTAACCGGTGAGCCCATTGCTCCATCATTTCCATAACCATTGATAAATCTTCTTCCTCGTGACCTTTACCTTTAAACCTTAATTTTCGTTGGATATCTGGTAGAGCAGCTAATCCTCTGACATCTCTCAATCGGTCAACATTAAGAATCACTCTAATTCCAGGTTTAACTCGACGACGTGGTTTTTTCTCCTTATCATCATCATTAGGTTTTCTCTTTTTCTTTTTTCCACCACCATCATCCTCTTCCTCTGCTTCATCAGCAGCAAAAACTTTAACTCCATCTTTGACAGAAACAACCTGTTCATCTTCCTCATCATCATCCACATAACCATCATCACCTAAATCATTAACAAGCCAACCATCATCATCCGAATATTGATCATCATCAGGACCACCATCACTTCCATCACCGCCATCATCATCATCATCTTTGTTTCTTTTTCTCTTCTCTTTAGACTTTTTCTCCTTTGAAGAGGAAGGTCTCTCGTCCTCCAATTCTCGAACTCTAAGAATAGCTTCATCCAAAGGAAGTTCATCAAACTCAGCAGGTAAATAATCTTCTTCGGTTAAAACAAATCCATAATTGGAACAATTAAAAAACAAGATAAACAAGTGGAGAATTAAAAACAATTAAAACAACAGAAATTGAACTCAAATTGTAAACAAAAGAAAATTTTATCCGCCAAAAAGAACCAGGGACCATCCATATAATACAGAAAGAAAAAATTCTCTTCAAATTTTATTCTAAAAGAAAAAAGAATCATTAAGATTCAATCTGTTCCAAAGAGTGAAATACTCTACTCTTTGATCTGTTCTCTGTTGGGCCATTTCGTTTCTACTTAATTTCTGTTGTGTTTAGAATTAATTTCGACATTTAAAAAATTAATTCTCATCAATTAACTGGATGAACGAAGAATTTAGTTGAAATTCTGCTGTTCAAGTCTTCTTACTTTACGCAATCTCTTGTAGAAACAGTTAGAGAGAAAAGTTCCCTATGTTTGTAAGGTGACTCTTTTCATTTTCTCATCTTTTCAACACAAAAACTTCAATTCTCTTTATTTCACCCGGAGTTTCATTATCAATCAGTGTCCATCAATCAGCTTAATTGTAAGCCAATAATTGTCTCTCACAACAATCATCACCCATCGATTCCAAGTGACACTATTTCAAAATGGCGACAATCAAATGACCAAGATGAGTAATAGTGTTTTCTAAATTTCAGTTTTTAAACTACACACCCTTTAGAAAGAAAAGAATGTTTTTTTCTTCTCTTTCGTCAAGATTTTAATGGTTTCATCTTTAACTCATCCAGAGCTTCTGGTAAAGATTTCAGATTGATGGAAATCATTAACCACCATCATAGATCAAATCTTTTACTGGTGATATTTCATTCACCTTCACCTTCGTCATCATTAACTTTAATCAACCTAATCAACTGGACCTGGTTTTGGATTATATTATCACTTATTTCAGGCTCATTACAACGAAATGCTTGTCCACAGCGATCACTAATTAAACCCTGTACGTGCCAAGAAAAGAACAAAGGTTTCGACATATTATGTGAAGGTAAATGGAACTTTATTTGTCTTTTTCACGGTTAATCGTTTTTTTAGAGAGAATAATAATTCTCTCTTATACAAACTCGATTTCACGGCTGTATAACAAGTTAACTGTTATCCAAATAGTAATGATAATATTTATATACAAATTCAGCATGAATTAATCATCACAATTATTATTAACAATGCAAACAAAAAATGTAAAGTTAATTGGATAACCTAAAGGAAAAGTGAATGAGGAAAAAAGTCAAGTGAATATGAATAATATTAAATTTCTTTCTTTGGTAAACAGTATAAGACTAAATTGTTTCCACTACAAGAATCTATTATCATCATCATGATAATAATTTACGCAGGAAGATGGATAAGAATTCTCTCTCTCTCCCAATTCTCTTACTGTGTAATGATGAATCAATATCTTTAGTGTAGTTTTATAAATACGATTAGGATAGTTCATCAAACATCACCACAATGGAAAAATAATCTTATCCTTGAAAAAGGTCTTCGAACGCAAGAAAATGATTCGTTGACATAGTAACCAATTAGTGTCCCACATATTAATAATATAATAGTAATAATAGTAAATTCAACTGATTGAGAATTATTATCAACAGTAATAATTTACTATCATTATGGAATCTGAAGATTTAGAAAACGAAATATCCTAAATAGATAATAAGAATGTTTAAGATGTAGAAAAGTCTCTAATTCTGATTGATTGTTGTTTCAGTTATAATTTCCTATTCTGATTCTCTTATATCGAGATAATAATAATCTTATCTTGTAATCAGGTAAAAACTTAACTTCGAATGGACTCTAAGCAAGAAGAAGATGAAGGAGAAGATGACGAAAAGAAATCCTCTTTTACCATCTTAAAGCCTTGTCATTAATCAGGCGATTCTCTTGTCCTTTTATCTTGTCTCTCTCACTCTTTCTTTTTTTCTTTCTCTTGTTAAAGTCAAAAGGATGATGAAAATGAACAAAAACATCGTATATGAAGATGATGATCATGAAAGAAAAGAAAAGAAAAAGAGATGATGATAATGAAAGGATGATGAAGAGAGAGAGAGAGAGGAAGATGAGGTAAAAAAAGGTAAATGATAGAGTTGATTGTGTGTATTGGGATTTGATTATTTTCATCATTTCTAACAGAATGTCCATCTTATCATCTAACTCATTTCTTGAAGATATATTCATATAATTCATCATAATGATTATTATCACCATAAGTATTTAACCAGAATTACTTTTGGGTGTTAGCCTGATTTTTCAACTCCGATGAACAGAAAACTCAAATCCTCAACCATTCACATTCCGTGTCAGTATATCAACACTGTTACAGGTTATATCATCATGGAGTTTTTTTTCTCGTCTCCCTGTAAAATTTTTATACTCACATTATTAGCTTATAGTTTATACGCTGTGAGGTGCATATATTTAGATAAAATCATGTCAACCATGAAAAACAGGGCAATAGTTGACCAGAGTTTTAAACCTAAATTATTCAATTATTATTCCTGTAATTTTATCATTATTATCACAATTATAATCACCATGATTACACAATAATGAACATCTCCATGTATATTTAGTAATAACTGATTGTTAAACTCAACTAAACCAATCAGTGAAATTTACTAACTATATCATGAAAATTATCTTGATCCCATGGTTATCATGAAACAATGAATTCTGATAACCATTTTACAGTTTATCATAATCTTTGATTTTTTTTCTTTCACCCTGCTAATATTTGTCGTGTTTACATCTTATTGTTGTTTATATCGAGATAATGACTTAATAGTGAATCAATATCCCCTCTGTAATACCATGATTATTATAATATCAATGAATTTGTCATTTTGCTAACCTATTCGGAAAAAAGGTTGGACTCAAATTTTGATTTCTTATTTCTCGAAAGTTAAATTAGTTAGGATTATAAAAATATATAGATCGATAGATTGAACATTGAAGTTTTATATAAGAGACATGATTTCATTTTTGGAAGAGTAGATCACTTTTTGGACAATGTTTTTCATTGCGCGGCGAAAACATTGCTTATCAAATCCTTTTAGTTTATTATTTATCCTCTTGATGAGTTCACGATGATTTTGAGCTTTCCATCCAACAGCATAGACCTTGGCCTTTAAATGTGAAAAAAAAATTTCTATTGGCCTCAACATTGGTACTGCTAGAGGATTTTCGAACTTTTTTACATAATCGACACCAGCGCCACCTATAACTTCTAAATTTCGTTTAGCGTAGTGAAATGAGGCTAAATCAGGCCAAAAAAATGTAGCGATGAGTAGGGTTAGACGATAACATTGGTACTGATATCTTAAAACCCATTCTTTGATATAACTTTCGGCATTAATAGCACCTAAACTTTGATGATGAAAAAGTTTCGAGTGTCCATCCTCGCTGATTGCTATCCAAAGCATCATTTTTTTCCGAATTTGGCCTTCTCTCGGAATCGGACAGCATTAGGTACATCATTGATGTCATTGGAAACGAAAAAAAATTTTCAACGTAAAAATTGTGTCCATTAAGGTCAAAATAAGATTCATCGTCCATAACGATGCGGTGGCGCTTTAGTCGTATTTGATAAGCAATGTTTTCGCCGCTTAATGAAAAACATTGTCCAAAAAGTGACCTACTCTTCCAAAAATGAAATCATGTCTCTTATATAAAACTTCAATGTTCAATCTATCGATCTATATATTTTTATAATCCTAACTAATTTAACTTTCGAGAAATAAGAAATCAAAATTTGAGTCCAACCTTTTTTCCGAATAGGTTATTATTATGATTCTTTTCATGTTGATAAACAATTGATTCAACTGTCCTCGTGTTAACCTACATTCCTATTCCGGAAATGACTGAGAACTTCCTTAATACTTCATCCTCATCATTATCATTACTTTTTATTACTATTATATGTTTTCTTCATCATCATTTACCTGATGCACATAAACTTTTATTATCATTCTGTTTACTTCTTGGACTTTCGCAACTATTACTGTTACTCTATGAGATTGTTATGATTTTACCATGAAAATTTTATCCTCTCTCTTTCTGAATTAATACCTTTTTTCATTTCCTCTGATTCACTGGTTTTGAATTTCTCCAATAGATTTCAGGCAAAGTGAAATCCACATAAAAAACTCTAGTATTTATATCTTGAAATACCTGAATAAATTTTCATGCTAATGATGTATCATAATAATGCTGAAAGTGTAAGGAAAATTTTCAATTAATTTCTAGCTTTTCGTTGTAATTATCATCTCTCTCTCCTTCTTGTTAGCTTGATGATTGAGTTTTTTAACAATTTCAGTTAATTGTATTTCAAATTTTATGCTTAGCATGATGATATTAATTCACTCACTTGGAGTAAATGGATTTCATTTCTTTTCATTGCAGGAAGAAATGAAAAAGCTGAATCTTATTCATGATATTTTATTTTATCTTCCATTTACATTTTAGTATCAACATAATATAATTTAATATTATTTAGTCTAATCTAAGTGATTAAATTAATTGTAAATTATTAATGGTATTGTTTCAATTAAACAATAGCATTGATCTATTGAATTTAGAAAATCATCTCTATACTCGAAAATTATTATCATGATTTATTGTAATATGTTTATCGATTTAATTTTACGCCTTTGATCAAAATTTACAAATCCCTTTGGGCTATATGATTATGAACAAAAATTGATTATTGATCCATTGGCTAAGAGATAGGAAGAGACAATCAATTAAATCGACTTGGTTGAATTACACTACTACAGTTTTCACATTTAAAACTAAACTATTTTTATTATTTGCCAAAAGGTTTTGACAATTTAATCACAGCAATTAGCTGATTACTAGATCAAGTTTAATCCATAACCAATGTAGTCAAATTACAAAGACACAATCATCTTACATGGCAACAGTTAATTTTAACCAATGATACTTGATACAACATTTACCCTTTCCTTTTATCCTATTCCCATTTATAACAATCAACTTAATTAATCTCAACTATTAATAAATAGAGTGAAAATTTCTGATTGTGATTAAATTACGTGAAAATAATCATTCCAAGTTAACTAGTTATACCAATTAAATTACCTTGCCACTGATAATCATCATGTTATTGTAACAATTTACTCAGAAATAATATAAATTGTGTATCTCTATTATGATGATGATGATTTTTACAATCATCATTATGATCTGAGTGGGAGGAATGAATGATGAAGAAAATAAAATGAAATGAAATTCTAACTCAGTAAATGTTATCACAGAGAATTAAATTTTTCTTTTCTCAACAATAGATCTTCATTCCCAGTCAACTGTTATCATTAACATTTACAATTTAAGTTAATCACAGTAAGAGACTTAACTTGATAATACAAAGTTTCTCACCTTTATACTTTTTCAAGAATATGATGTTTATCATTATTGTTGATTGTTCAGGTGAAAAAGGGTAGACATTTTCACCTTTTCTTTTCAAAAGTTATTATTATTGTTACTGTTTTATTATCCAGGGCTATTGAATTTAAACTCAATTGAGTTTATTGGAATGATGAGAAATCAAAAACTACAATCGATGTTTCAATTGTTTTCCCTCATGATGGATCCGATTTATCTCCTTCCAAGTCATTAGAACTTTTTTCCCTCTTCCTGTAGTTTGACACTAGAAGTTTTTTTTGTTCAATCCAATCAAATTTTCTTGATTTCATTGATTATTTTTTTTTGTTCTCTTTCTCTTCAACTTTCGTTCTTGTTCCAATGTCTCTCATGTTTATCATCATCATGTCTGATTAATGTTTATGTCTGTGTCTTGTAAAATTAATTAAGTAATCACAATTTAAAATTAGAGTTGATAAGTAGCAGTAAACAAGGTTGATCAAAGTTTGATAAACGTGAAAAATGTTTTATGTAAAAAAATGATGAATAAAAAAGTATATTAAGGTTATGAAAAAGGAAAGATGAAAATTTCATCCATTTCATGAATCTCCACGAGTCTCATGAGGTTTTGCTGGATGTTAAATTAGTAAGGGAAAAAACGAAATAACTTTATAAGTTACTTCCTGACATTATAATCAAGAACAAGAAAATAATAATATGATGATTCTGATCAATCTGAATGAAATATGATACAATATATAAAGCAAACCAGTAATTAGTTCATGTATATTACATTAGGTCATATCAATTTCATGTCGATAATCAATGTAATTGATTTTACAATATCATTGTTGATCCACTTGTTTTTTTCTTCTTCATAGATTGAAGCAATTCAATTATCATTGGAATTGCATTTTCTTTGGTGAATTTAAAACGATTTGAAACAGAATCGCTTGAATACTTACTAACAGAACTGAATCTTGTTTCTTACTCCACTTACCTGGTGTAATGTTAAGCAGGTTTAATAAGCATGAAAGGAAAAAAAAAATATGAGAAAAGATTTTCATCTCAAGTAAAAATATGTTTACGAAAATAATATGTTAGTTGATATTCAGTTTTACAGGTCACCAGGTATCTTCATCATGGCTTTCATCATCAAAAAACATCATCAGCAACTTCATCATCTTGTTTTCCCATCATGTAATACTATCATGATCATCATTTTTCCTTTAGGTGAATGGATTAAGGTGTGCAAGCGGTTGGAGAAAGAGAAGAAAAAAAGCTAAAAAATTTCTCTCTCTCTCTCTTTTTTTACTATTTTTTTCGTCTTTATCTTCATCTCTTTTACCAACTATCAACAAATTTACATTCGCAAGAGTTTGAACATTTCAAGATGATGATGCAGAGAAGCAAAGGAAAGCAAGAAAGTCGAAAGAATAAATGAAAGAGAGAAAGAAAGATGACGACGATGATGAAAGAGTAATAGGAGAAAAGAAGTAACAAAAATTCACTATCGATTTTTATTCTTTACCATTGGTTATCCATAGGAAAAAAGATTCAAGATCGATACAAGGAAGAAGATGAAATGAAAGAAAGTGATAGATATTTTTCCATGGGAAATGAATGATATTGAACATTGAGTTTTCTCTAGAATATAAGAAAAGATCTAACAACGAAAGAGAGAGAGAGAGAGGGTTACTCTTTTTTTCACATCATCCTCTTCATCATCTTCAGAAATAACAAAACTAACATCAGCTTCAGTGTATGTAGAAAAAAAATTGATAGAAGTTGAAATAACAGCGTAAAATGAAGATGAAGATGATAATGATGATGTAAAGATAAGTGAATCCATTAACAATTGAAGTCAACGGTTAAAAAAGTAACATCATTTTCTGAGCATTGGAATTTTTTCCTCATCCTCTTATCCTGAGTTATAATGATCATCATGTAAACAATTGCATAATCAACAACAACAACAGTTTAACCTAACTGACAACCGATAAATTTGCAACAATTTAATCTAATAATGTATACAACCGTTTTATCCAATGACAATTTTTCCACCGAGTAATTTTGTCACTCTTTTCACACACAGAATCTACATTGATGGTAATAGCAGTGAAACAATAACCACCTTGAAATGATTTTCATCTAATAGATCAACTCATCAACACTCCCAAAGTTAACTGTATCTTGAAAACAAATTACTTATGCCAACATTGAGTCTTTTAATCAACAAAAAAACTTATCCCTAAATCAAATCCTAAACAATCATCTCTTACCATGTAATAAGTGATATCATGGTAAACTATTATTGTGAAATGTTTCATGATAAATTGTCGCTATTGTTTAACTTAACATTCATCTTATGTTATTATTATATAATATTGTCTTGCACGATAATCAATTGTTGCCATTATTTGAACAATTGAAAAGTTTTCATTGTTATGATCAACATTTTAAAAAGAAGATTGTTTAAATTCAACAATTGGATTACTCTGAATGATCACCATGAAACTGAATGAAATAGTTTTTGCTCTTTAACAAAAGAAAAATTATTATATTGAGAATCCATATTAGCATCATTATCGTTATCAATTATCATTTGATTCTTATTCTGAAAACTTTCTTCATGAATACCTTCAGAATTCATATCGATCTCATGAAATAATATCATGAAGGTGTATGTGTGTAATATTTTGAATATCATTAACACTATGAGAAAATTTTCTCCACCATGAAAAAGTTTCATGTGTATTATTGTTCATAACTAGTCAAGAATGAAATACTCTGATATAAGAATGAATTTTCATCATGAAATAAGAAGAAAAGAAAAAAAGTTCTGAACTCTTTTTCTCCCTATATATATGAATTTTTGATATTTTCTCCTTTTCAAAAGGAAACTTTATCAATCAAAATCAATTTCAATTGGAATCAAATTTTTTTGCTCCTCTCAAGTCAAACAATTTAATTCAAACTCAATTCAAGTTGTAAATGGTAATGTCATAAATTATTAACATGAGACATGATTCTGATTCCTCTGTAATGAACATCATGAAACTCATAATGAAAAAAATAAACAATTTGAGATACAAAACTAATGGTAAAATAAATATCATTCAAACTTTTTTTTAACCTTAAATTTGTCTCTAACCTTAAATAGCCTTGGGAAGTGTATGGTTAATGGTTTTCATGGTTATCTACTGAGTTTTTCATGGTAGATATGAAAAATTTTCTTCATCAATTGAGAAATTGAATTGCAATGACCAGTGTATCTTGTAGTCATTTAGTTCATGAATTACGAATGATGATTGAAATTGATCACCAGGAAATCTTAATGATAACATGATGATAATTCTGGTTCATGGTTCTGATGGAAATATGTTGATAATATATTCTGCTGATACAACTGATTAACCTTGATCATTTTTGGTCAATTGTTTTTGATTCATTGGGAATTTAAGTTGATCATCTTGATTATGATTCTGATTAATAGTGTTGTTGATTAACTAGACATGATTATTTCTTTGAATTTTTCATAATCATCATTGTCAATTCCTATGAGAACTAGTGATAATGATGATAGTCCATTGTCCACTTTGATTATTATCATCAATATTGATAATCAATGTTCAATCATTACCTTGTTTTCAATATCATGTTAACTTAATGTAATTTGCTGTTGTTTTTGATTAATCGCAATCATTATCATTAACATAATTACTTTGATCAATTTCTGTTTTCTCTCTGGTAACAAATGATAATAAATCATCATTTGAATTTTTGATTATCTTATCTTCATATTGTGATATTTTCATGGGGAAAAAAACGTTCAAAGAAAATCGTATTATTTTTTTCTGATATCACTCATCAACCATATTAAATAACAATATTTATAGTTAGAATGTTGAAAGTTACAATCTAATTGGTGATTCACATCACGATCACAATTTAAATTACCATCACATTGGAAAGTGTATTAAATGTGATATAAAATATACTCTAAGTTGAATTGAGACAAAATGATGAAAAAGCATCAACCATAAACTCATCATCACCTTAATCATTTAAATCACAATGAAAGAGAACTGAATCAATCATTAATGATATTTTTTTCCTTCTTCAATTTTTCCTCCAGGAGCGGAAATGAATGAACTAAAGGAAGCCATTGGTAGTATTGCGAAAACGGGATATGGAGCAAATTATTTGAAATTTCGAAAAAATTCTCTGCCCACTTTTCCCGCCTTTCTTTTAGATGGACTTGATGTGACCCACTTAATTGCTCACCATTGTAACATAAGCTCAATTGAAGAGACGGCCTTTTTTGGTCTATCAGATAAATTGGAATCGATTGATTTATCTGAAAATGTATTAACAAAGGTAATATTAATGACCATTATTGACCCTTGAGATCAGACTAATTTACATGTTACACTCAATTGTAATTGAATTTTAATCTTCCTCTTTTCGCATTATATTCAATCAATTAGATTCCAACTAAATCGTTAGAAACGTTGTCATCCCTTGTATCATTAAACCTTAATTATAATAACATTCAAGTGCTTCACTATGGTGCATTCAGGGGACTCATATCGCTCCTACGTTTATCTTTGTATGGTAACAAGATTAAAACAATTGATCAAAATGTTTTCCATGGGATCGGCGGTAATTTAACTCGAATTAATCTCGGCGGTAATCAATTATCTTCCATTGATTCAACTAGTTTTTTTAATCTAACAACTCTCAAGGTAAATAATCAATTGAGATAAATTGATCGTGTTTTTTTTACTTTGGTACAATAAAATAACCTCAGAATACAATTGACTTGGATTCAGTCAGGAAGAATTCTTATATCTTAGTCTATCCCAACTATTGTCATGATTATGATGATGATAATCATGGATTTTTCCATGTATTCACTTGACTTATTTCCTATTGATTTCCTGTTTCCTATTTCAACCTGATTAAAAGCCACGAATTAGGAAAAAATGTGAAACACTTAATTAACTAACAATGATCAATGATGATAATATTAATTAATATTAGTTTAGTCAAACAATTGTTACCTTTTCATTCAATCAACATGTTATTCAGATTTTATCCATCATGATGATAACTATTGGTGAAGTTCATCATGAGGATGAAAATAAGTTAAATCTACTTATAACTTTTTTTTTCTCTTCCTGGTTTCCTTTCAACGCCTGAGGCTCAATCCGAGCTCTGAGAAAAAAAATGATCCCCGTTACTTTCATGAAACCTAATAGTCATATGAACCTGAACTTTTATCATTAGAATTCATCATGAGAAGCAAAAAAAGATGAGGAAAGGAAAAGATGATGAAAGAGGAAAAAGATAATTCCAAATAGTATAATTTGAATTCTGGTTTTGAATTTTCCAAACTCTCAATCAAATGAATATTATATTAACCATAGATAATAAATTATCGCATGATCATTAACAGTATTGATCAGGTTACTAGTGAATATGAAGTAAATTTTAATTTCAAAGGTTGAATAGAAAACGTTAACCTTTGGAAAATCTCATGATAACCACAGGGAAGATTCAAACATGGAAAGAAAAAGATTCATTCATTTTCTATTTCAAGTCATATTATCATCAGGGGACTTAACCATTGTCACCCTAATTCCTCAACTTGAAAATTCAATCTCGTCTCATTCCCTTTTCCTTTTCATGATCATTATTTTCACCAAAATTCAGATTTCCAACTACTAACTAACTTAATCTATCATTATCTTGTGGTTTACCTTTTTAATCATTTCCTTTTTCACATTCTGATCCAGATTAATGATTATTCAGGTTAATCCACATGAAAAAAAAATTACCATCATTATCTTATATTAACAGACGACATGATGATAAAGGGAAAGCTTATTAAAATGGAACCTACTCTCAACAATTGAATAATATTAATGATGAAACTTTACCACCTTATTTATATATCTTGAGAGGTGGAAGATGAGGATGAGGATGAGGATGAAGATGAAGGTTGAAACTCCCACTTTGATGTTATCATCATTACGATGGGATAAACTTATAAGCTTTTCTTTCATGATAATCTTTTATCAGGAAGGGATTTCCTCTTGTTGTTTCCATCTCCTTTACCATGATTATCTTTATCATTTTTATCATGGTAAAGGTAATAAATACGATTAATGGTAAATGAAAATATTACTTATCATCTTATGTTCTGGAACCAATGATTAAATTAATCGAATTAAATTAAGATTTAGTTTAACCGATTAGATTATCTTTCATTAATCTCTCTCTCTCTCTCTCTTTGCCTATTCCTTTGTAACAAATTAATGTCAAAATTATTTATCGTCTTTAATATTATCCTAATCATCTTAATTGCTATTTAGCCTTCGAAACTTTGAAAATTATTCAAGTTCGAGAAAAAAAGTTCTATATCATTAATTTTTTTTCTCTTTTCTCATTAACTGTTAGTCTACTTTAGTGAATTAAATTGTTACACTTATTATCTAAATTAACCAATTATCATTATGTTGATTATTGAAAATTTCATATTGTATATTTTAAATTGTTTACTTTGAACAATTTAAACTTTTTCCAACACTTTTCATTCAAGATTAACTAATTTGATTCCTTGAATAGTTAATCAGATTGTTTGTAACTAACTAGTTAACTAAATTTAAGTGTTTTAAATTAGCTGATTATCATTAATTCATTTACAATTTAAATAATTGAACTAACGACAAATACTAATGATAATAGAAATGTAATAATAATTTTCAACCTCAAACTGTTAACAATTAACTCTAATTGTTATTTAAAACTATTAATAATATTAACTGTGTTGGAAAATGTTGTAAATTGTTATATTCAGATTATATTGATAATCTAAATTGATCTAATTATTATGACAATCTACAAATTTAAAGCCTCTCATTAATAATAAACTAATATAGCGAAAGTAAATCAAAATTATCTAAATCATTGTTAGTCTAATAATTAAGTGTACGCTTGAAATGATTAACAGTAACTGGAAAAGATTGAAAGTTATCATTAACTGATGATTATTAGTTAGCCTTAATTAACTATGATAATCATGCCTTTCGATTATCATGATAATAATTTGAATTGTTTCCTTTACACTCCCAACAGAGACTTCAGATTCATGAGAATCAAATAAGTGAAATAAATATGAATACATTTAAAGGATTCGCTGCCGCTGACAGTTTAGACGCACTTAACTTGGCTTCCAACGATATTAAGGAAATACCTGAGAAATCATTCCAATCGTTAAGTGCTCTCAATTCACTTGCACTTGAAAGAAATCGAATATCAACAATCCATCCATTTGCATTCCAGGGAATCGAAGGTATTACAAAAGTTGCTACTTCCGTTTCCTCAACTTCCTCCTCTCTACCACCCATTTGAACTAAAACCTTTACCAATTGTCACTCTGAATTTCATATTAGCATAAAAGTGATGAAATGTAAATATTTAATTTCCTCTTTACTCTTATTTTATTATCATCACCAGCAATTTAATTGTCATTTGAAAATGAGTTATTTATAAATTGGTTGATTCATTAGTGATGATTAGTATTCAATGAGTTTGAAAGATGAAATTTTCAGTTTCAGTTTCAATTAAAAATCGTAATTGTCATAAAAGAAACAGTTAATTATTAATACTGATTATCATTTTAGAATCTCATTGATTAATGTTGGTTTTCTTGATTGTTTCTATTAACTACTTTCTATAGATTCCCTGGAATGGTTAACATTAGGTGAAAATTTGTTAAATCGTATTCCAAGTTTTTCCTTGCAAAATTTAACACGATTAAGACAATTAGATTTACGAGGTAATAATATTACGATTGTCGAGGAAACTTCATTAAAAGATTTTGGAGGAAACCTGAAATTTTTGTATCTCAAGAATAACAGGTAAGTACAATTAACTTTAAACGTTAACAATTAACCAGTTCAATCAGCTGATGATCATGTTAGTTAATGAGATCTTCCTCTCTATCATACTATCTGATTAGATTAATATTGATTAATGAATGAGTTTTTTTTATGAATGAAAATTATACTTGGTTAATCATAATAATAATCGGCATTAATTGTATAATAACAATCGAGGGATTGAAGAGTTAGCTATCATCATTAATTGATTAGGATTTTTAATGATGAACCTTGAATATTGATTAACTTTGATCATTATTTTCATCACTAAGTGTGTTTTTGTGTTAATCATGATTATGATTAAAGGGAAACAATCAATCCTTTGAATATAAACAATTAGCATAGCAATTTGTTTGATGATTATTATTATCATAATAATTATCATTAGGAAGCAAAAACAAATTATCCAAATGATAATAAAAGGATTTAATCATTATTACAGTTTATATTATCACAGTTTTTTTTTCTTGATTCCAGTTAATTGTAACAATGATTTATAATGAGTAACAATAACCTTGAGGCAATTGAAAAAAAAATGTCTATAAGTTTGTTGTTATTTATCAATTGTGCTTTTCTAATTAATTCAATTACTGAGCAATCATGATCATGAAAAATACCTTGGGTGAAAAACTCAACTACCTGGTAAATGATTTATTTGCGATTCTGATGAAAATTCTGGATTTATCTTATTATATTATTATGGTAACTTTGAAGATGATGATATGTTAGAAAACCTATTTTCTCATCATTCCCATGATATTATTTATTTCATGATGATAATCAACTCTAAACTTGCAGTTGAATGTGTATTTCCATGAATATCAATGAACCATCATCTTAACTGGACTGTAATTGCTTGTACCATGTAAAATGAACCAAAGAAAAGTTGTTCTCAGGCTTTTTTTGCTCAGTTCTACATAAATTTATGGATTTATCATGTAGATGAATCTTTGAATAGAAAGATTCAGGAATAGAGAAATTGAGAAAATTGAGAATTTTCATCTTCCCTGACAGTAACACTATCTAATAATATTATTTCATAACTATTCTTGACATTTCCTCTTATCCCTGATTTTCATGATGATGATTATTTCCATGTGACACATATAAGTATAAATTACATGATAGCTGTGAGCAATTAATGATAATCATGTTGAAAATTATTGCAATCAAGTTATTGTATCTCTCCAATCACACTGACCCTAACTCAGAATCGGTTTGATTAATATATTCAATTCATTTCACCCCATTGATTAGTAAATCAATCGGTAAATCATATTATTATAACATCATCAGTCTTGACAATAGATTTCACAAGTTTTACCTTTTGTCCATCATTTACAATCTAATTAAGTTAAATCATTCATTGATTTCCTTTGTCTCATGTTTTTTTGTCTTTCTTTTACTCTTTATTTAATGATGATAAGATTTCGTGAAGAAAACCAATTTGATGTTTTTTCTTGACCATTGTTGACCATCACATTGGAAGAAGATGAAAATACTGATGAAGGGGTTGAAAAGGAGGAGAAACAGGGAAGGAGGAAAGTGGTGGTGGATGTGATGGTGGGATGAAAGGAGGAAAATTAAGATTGAGAGGTTTGAGTTGTTGAGCTTTTAAGTATATAAAAGACTGACCATTTGATTTGGACATTGCAATATGTTGACCAATCGATAAAATCTTTACCTTTAATGTTATTCACTTTTTCATTAACTAAAATTACGGAATCTTACAAGATTGTTAGATTGTTAGATTGATGACCAATAGTAAACTTAGGGATGAGGATGTTAATCTAGAGATTAACTTACAATTTAAATCTTTAACAAATAATCAACAATCAACTCTAAATGTTTTAATTTGTTGTAAACTCTCAAAAAGTGCAATCTCAATTGTTTACAGTCTTTTGATTCAATCTCGAAACTTGAACCTTATTATTATCACCATCAGAATTTGTATCATGAAACTGAATTATAACTCTCTTATATCTACTATAGAGGAAGAAAAATTCTTATTCAACTCTGTTCATCTCTTATTTCCAGTTGAATTGTTTCACCTTTTCCAATACAACTGATGATTACTTGATTTAACCAAGTGAAAGTTTTCTTTATCATGATGATGATGAATCAGAATGATGATCATCGTCAGTTTCTGTTGATCAAATCACATGGTTGATTAATGATCATTTGCTAAATCAATAATAGTTCCAATTGTTGAAAACTATACTTTCTTATTTACCTGGAGACTAAAGTGGATTAAATTGATTCTCAACTCTTTATATTCACTCAATCAATTTTTAATTGCTCAAGTATCTCAATTGTTAACTAATTGATTGTAAATGAGTCTAAGAACTTTTTTACTTATATTTATTCATTGAGTAAATAGTAAATTGATGATTATATTTACTGTTGTTTTTTTTCATCAATTGTCAACTTTTATTCACCTCAGCAATTTATTCATTTTGTTTACTTATTTAAATTGGTTGCTTGATTTGATGCAAATTAACAAACAAACAACAACAATTTTGTCAACAAAACACTTTACCTTTGCAATTGAATTGGGAAAACATCAACAATTAGAGTAAATTATTATTCATTAAAATTACAATTATAATCAAGGTAATTGTCGTTTCTGTTTATAAATTGAATCCAATAATAATATTCAACTTTTCATAATCATAACTCAATTTGCTAAATTAACTTTACATTTTTCAACATTATTAAAGAGAGGATAATTGATCACTAATTGTCATTATAATGGAAATGATAATCAATTCTAATTATATACTCACATAATCTTAATTATGATTTAATATCATCTATTTGGTTGTTTCTTGGCTTCAATCAATATAATTTATCATCATCATTGTTAATAATAATGATAATGATAATGATTATCATCATTAAGCTATCATCTCATGTTAATCAACATTAAGAAATTGTAATATTATAATTTAATTGAGAGAAAAATTTTCTTATTAATCAAATATCAAAAATTTGTGCTAATAATTATCATCAAGATGATCATCTACTTGATATTATATATAAAATACTCCATGGAAATTAGTATAATTATTAATTAATCATAAAGATAATGCAAACCAAATTATCATTGGTAAGACTTCAATCCAGTTAGAACAGTGAGAAAGTTTTAAAATTTAATGATGAAAAGTTAATCAAATGATTAAGATGATTTTTCCAAGTTGATTAGCTTTCATCAGATTGAAATAATATTATTAATTTGATTTCATTTCAATTTTCAGTGAGAACTCAGGGTTACATTGATTTTGAACACAAAGTATCAGCAAATTACTATTGATTTTTTTACACTCTCTGAATAGGAAAATGTTGAAGATGATGAGGATGAGGATGGAGATGAGGATGGAGATGAGGATGGAGATGAGGGAGAGGGATTGAGACAGGGAGGAAAATGTGAAAGGATGAAAATGTTTTTTTAAAAAGTAAATCAATTTTGCATAGGTTACTTTCAGTGCTTTTCAAATGCTCTTGTTATCATAAATATTACCATGAATTTTGTTTCTCTTCCCTGTTTCATGTTACTTTACATTTCATTTCATTTCAATCATATTCAATGTTAACAGGAATCAACATGATGATTGAACAGCAACAACAATATCAAATTGAACCTGATCAACGTAAATGGATCAAACTTTCAACCTCTTATATTATTATTATGCGCTTTCTATTATTTTCAATATAATCATGATACATATACGATTTCATGATAATAGTTTTTTTTTCATTTGAAGTAAGAACGAACAAAAAAAATAGAATGAGAATGGAACTTTTTTTCAAAGATAATTTCAAATTCTTTTAGAGTTCTTCCTCATATTTCTTGTTAGAATCATGAGATTTCATAGATTATTGTGATGAATTTAATGATTTAGATAAATTGTCAGATTATTAATTATTGATTGATATGGTTGGCGATGGCCAGGGCCAAGATTTCCATGAATTTATATCAATCATTTTCGATTGAAAAAAATCAGAAAAAGTTCAAGTTTAAGATGATTCATGTAAGGATATGAATCATGAATCTTTTTGTCAAGATTCAATATCTCCAATGTAAAGATTGATCCAAATGGACGAAGATGATTTTAAATTTGTTACTGAATAAAATTGATGATCAAATTTCTGTCTGAAAATATGTTTACAAAAGTTTTAATCATTTATCATGAAATGAAATCCATTTCAATCATGATCACAATTGTTTCTTTTTTATTGTAACTTAATCATGATTATAAACTTTGATTCTGAAGTGAAATGGTTCCTCCTAATGTTTATGTTGACTTTTTAATTTCATCATCGTTTCTCATCTCAGAATTAGATCACAATTTGATCAATCGTCTCTCATCTCGTGTTGATCATTAATAAACTTTCAGCTGAATTGAATTTATTGATTCATTTTACTTAATTGTTGTTATTTTTCATTCTTACAGGATAAAAGTAATTGAACCTGGTGCATTTGACAAGCTAATATCACTTGAGTGGCTTTATTTGGATTCTAATCAGTTGATTAAACTTTCGTACGAAACTTTTTACCCGATCATTGATTCACTTAAGGTTCTTGATTTACATGGTAAAAGTTTATTCATTTTCGTTCATTTTAACTAATAATACAAGAATAATCTCAATCAATAATCTAATTGTATCATGTGATTGTTTAATTTTATTTTTGTTCTTCCTTTAATTGTTACTATTTAAATACAGATAATCCATTTGAATGTCATTGTGGTTTAGTTTGGTTCAGTGATTGGGTTCGTGGTGAAGGTAAACAAGTTGTTAACATGCCCGATAAAACTGAGTGTTCATTGGGCTCTTCAAGTTCAATCAATAAATTGCCAATTCGTGAGATTCAAAGCAGTTCACTTAATTGCGTTAATCAAGCCACCAGTGGTCAACAATCAAATCTATTAACAGTTTTCACCATTGGAATAGTTTATTTATCAATCATCTTTTGATCAGCAATATTAACGTTGTAACATATTTTAAACTGTACAGTTGAAAAGAGAGTAATTAAAGTCCAATTATACAGTTCAAATTGTCTCCTCAATAAAAGGACAATCAATCAATACAATTTGATCAAGTAATTAAATTAAAATCAATAATTTGATTCAATAAAATGGTAGCTGCTCAACTAGCGCCATCTTTTATCAAATCAAATTGACACGAACATGATGATTAATCATTTCCAATGCAATTAACTTTTCTTATTATTCAGATTGAATTAATTACTCGAAGAATCAATTGTTAGCTTAAATGATTAACAGTTAATAGGGTAACAATTGAAATTGATTAATCTTCTTGTTATTGATTAACTGTTTTCTCCAATAAATTATTATTGCTCTATTTTCAGTAAATATCAAAGTTAATTGGAGTCAATTAAATTTATCGATTAACTGATTAATCAATTTTTAATTTCATTCACTGATTGTAACTATTAGCATGGGAAGAGAAAAAAGTTTTCAACAATTAAACTTTTATAGATTAAAATAGATGAATGAGTTAATAATAATCGAAACTAAATTGTAAACATTATGATAAATTGTTGAGAATTAAATTACTTTTCTGAGAATAACAATTATCCAATTTTCTTAGCTAATTGTTTCTTAATTATTTCACCCAGAGAGTTAAATGCTAATGACTAAAGCCAACAATTAACATCAAGAGTAACAATTAAATCGTGTCCTTGCTTCATGGTTTAATGATTTACAAAATCAACGACAGGTAAAAATTTTAATCACTTGAAAAGAGTAAAACAAAAGGTAAAAAGTTAATTGTTTCCAGCGACAATTAAAAATCCATAAATAGTCAATCCCTTTAATCATAACAATAATCAACACGATTACAATAACTAACGATTGGAAATCTAATAACATCAACAATATAAATCCAATAACTGAACATTAAAAGTAAAAAATATCAACTGAATGAAATTGAAAAACCATTTGTATTGTTACAATTAAAGTTAATTCATTATAATTGATGATCATCATGAATAGTAGGTTAAGTTAATCAATATTTTTGTTTCTCTTGTTTCTTATTCATTAATTTGTTTTAACACGAACATGAAACTTGGGGAGAAATGAATTAAATTGATTAGTTTACTGTTGATGATTAAAGTAAAACTCGTTGATTGTTATTCAATAAAATCTACAATCAAAATGGTTAATTGTTGGGAATAGTGATCACTAGAGGTCGGTTTGTGATTCTGGTTATTCTGGTTTCTTTGGTTACCTGGATTATTTTGTTGATGGAACAAAATTTCATTCGATTTTTTTGTTCTCTTCTTTTTGTTCATCTAATCGTTTATTTCACTTTGATATTTAAATTGTTGTTCAGTTAATGTTTTCAACTGTTCAATCAACATCAGACTCTTTAAATAATATGTGCTCATACTATTGATTGTTAAACAACAACAATTAAAGGTTAACATTAATCACTTTCGAGTTTAATTCTGTGACAAAAATCAGTCAACCAAAGTGCTTATTATTTATTTCAATATTTTCTCTCTCTCTCTCTCTCTTGATTGTTGTCTCTCATTCCGTTCTGGTCAACTAATTGGTTTTCTTTACAATTCCAAGTTAAATTCAAGTTTAAACAATGCTAATTTCTCATCATCATCTAGTTGATTGTCAGAATCTTGTAATTATCTGTGACCATTAAATCCAAGGCTATAAATTGTCAACAGTGTTTGTATTTATCTCTCTCTCTCTCTCTTTCTTTCTTTCTTTGTGGTAAAACTTGAACTGCCCCACCCTGTAATCTAATGGCCAGTGTCTCTCGCTGTAAAGCAATTGTACTTGGTGATAAAGCGGTTGGGAAAACATCAATTCTTAATTGTTTACTTGGTTATCCGGTTCCGTTTAGTAAACGTTACAATACAACCAAAGGTGTAAACATTGTCTCGAAGTCGATTAAGTTAATTGAGCCTCGAGAAGATTGTTGCTTGGTTGATATTTATTTTTACGATTTTTCCGGTCGTTCGGTTTATACTGATCTTGTCCGTTCACTTTGGGCCAATAATGTTTCACTGGTCATCGGTGTTTTCGATGTGACCAGAGAGGAATCATTTTATCACTTACAAACCGTTCTTTCAGATTATATGAAACAATTTGGTAAACAACTTAATGAGAACAACAATCAATCAACAACCTCAACTACCAATACAACAACAACTAATTCATTTGCCCCCTTGTGTGTGGTTGGTGTTATTTTAGGTAATAAAGTTGACCTTACAGAGCAACGGTCAGTAGATGAAGAGGAATCTTCTCAATGGGCTAAACATATACGAATGAGATACTTTGATGTAAGTGCTAAAGATAATATTGGAATCGAGGAATCGTTTAATCATCTAGTTAGATCTTGGTCTGATTCTAATCGTACAAATTAAAAAGGTTAATCAACCAACCATAGGAATAAATCATAATCATTAACCTTATCATCATATTCATCATCATAATCATAACCCTCAATGTCCAAATACAATGTATTCATCATTAATACCTGGCACTGTCTCTCTTTTTATATTATTTATTCACCATTCATTTAGTATGAAAATTATTATAATCAATTCATTCATGTACATTGAATAATTTATATATAAAACGATTATTATAATTAACTGCTGATCATCATTAGTGTTGATTCAACCTTGACCTTTACCTGGTTTGTTAACCGCATCATTTTTTACACTGTCTTGGTAAAATTTCAAGAGAATTGATAATAAATAAGCAATTGTTTTTCTTATATGGACTATGTCCTCATCTTGCCTTTTCTAAAGGGCTTGGTAGTCTGCGAGGTCATTCAGCTCGGTACAGTCTAAAAATCCACTGGTTACTATCGGTTAGGTTAGGTTAGGTCGCGCGAAGAAGCTTGTAACCTTTTCCAGTTTATCCTGCCACGAGAACGGATGAAGAATAGACCAACTTGGTCAACTTGCTCTTTAACGAAAGCCATTGTACTGTGTCCACTTGCCTTGAGATTCACTGAAAAAAAGTTCAGAAAATCACTGATTTAGACTTGTTTGACTTGTCGGAAACGAAAAAAAGAAATGTCAAGAAAAAGATCAAGGTCATTCCGGTCATCAATAAAAGAAGCAATCTTAGGACTTTTGTGTCAAATAATGAAAATTACTCGATATATTTATACTGTTTGAGATAAACGATCAGAAAAATTAAAAAGATTAGCTCTTTTCCGTAGCGAAATCGATTGTTCTTATGACTTTTACGTCGAATGACAAAAATTGGTTAGTTCTCAGCACGAGTAAACGTGAAAAATACTGAAATGACCATCAAATGACCTTGAAACAGTTCTTCTACTTGACAACCAACAACGGGGAGAGAGAGAGAGAGTAAAAGACAGAAAATTACAATTAATTTAGTCTTGTCTTTGCTTGAGATTAAATTGATTTTCTAAAATTTTCATGGCTTTTATGTGTGCACATCCTGGAAAAGGTTACAAGCTTCTTTGCGCGACCTAACCTAACCTACCCGATAGTAACCAGTCGCTTTTTAGACTGTACCGAGCGTAATGAACTCCCAGACTAAAAAGTCCTTTAGAAAAGGCAAGATGAGGACATAGTCGAGCTCTAATTTGACCGATTGAATTCATTTAAAGGGCTGTTACTTAAATGAGAACAAATTTATAAAAGTCAATAACATTGGAAGGAAAGTCAAAGACATGATGCTTCTTTTCGGCTCCGTTTTGATTATTGTCACAGGATATTTATGAGAGTAATCATATCTTGGGAGGCCACCACCAAAAATGAGGTATTCTTCCCTGAAAAGAATAATAATTAAGATAATTAACATTAGACAATTATCTTAGAGTTTTTCTTTCTCTCTCAAAGAACAAGAAATTATTAATGAAACAGTTGCAGCAACCCAATTATCTTGTGAACTGGTTTACATGCATAGAATCCATATTCCTTTTCTGGAGGCTGAGAGGATTTCAAATTGTCATCTAATTTCCATCTGAGGACTTTTCCATTAAATGAAAAACCGAATTAAACGCGGTGAATGTGGGTTAAAATATCATGTATATTGGGTGACCGAAAATGAGTGAGCATCTCAAGAATGATAGGTTCTAGAGTTTCAGTAAAGTAAGTGAGTAAAGTTTCAAACGTCATTGAAAAGCGCCATCGATCAAATAAAAATGAATAATTTTCTTATTTAAAGGCCAAAATCGCGATTTTCTCAATGAGAAATTTATAATGGGAAAGCTAGATGTCAATTCGAGTTGATTTCGGCCATGTGGATCTCAATAATCTTACTTTAGATTATTATGAGCTTAGGTATATAAGATAACAAGTCCAAAAGAATAACTTTTGAACATTAATTTCACATAAACTTAGACTATTGTCACTACAGAGAACAACAATTTGTCCAAGTCCTTCGACAAATTTAATTTGACGAATTTCAGTTTCTTCTTCAAGTGATATTTCCAATTCAACACCCGGTCGACCATGAACCTTAATAACACCATTTTGTGAATGTGGAAATCCATGAGAAATTGAGAAGAAGAAGAAAATTGATCATCATTAGTGTTGATTAAACCTCGACCTTTACCTGATTTTGTTATTCGCATCATTGTTTACACTTTCGTGGTAAAATACAAGTAAAATTTATACTAAATAGTTAATTGTAATTCAGTAATTTTATAAATTGCTCCAAGTGTTTCCACCTCAGTAGTAACTTTTGATGGATTCGAATTGTTAGTCTCTGTTTAAATATACAATTTAAATTTGGGATCAATTGTTATTTCTGTTAATAGGGAATTTTTGTTAGTTTAGATATTGAAATACAAGAAGTATTAATATATTGAAAAATATCAATTTAATTTAATGTACTTGTCATTTTTGTTTTGTTTTGTTTTGTTTTTCCTTTGTAGATATTATCATTATTAAGGTTAATCAAATCAAGAAGTTGCATAACAATTTGTTTCTTATTATATTTTTGTTTTTGTTGATTTTACGATGATGATGATTAAAAAAATTAGCAAAAATTATCGTTAAAATTTGTATCCTCGGTAATTTTCTAACGTTATTTGTTTTTCGATATTATGTGGGGTTACTTAACTTTCTCTTTCTTTTCTTGTCGTCCGTCATTTCGATTTTTCTTTCTTCTTTCTCTCTTTTTCTTTTGATTTTGATTCTGATTTTCCTTGATCTCTTTAACTTCTCCCTCTTTATTATCTTCTTCTTTCTCTTCATCTTTAATTTCTACCTTTTTCTCTTTCTCTTTTTCTAAAAGTTCTTTCTCTTTTCGCTCTTTTTCTTCTTGCTCTTTCTTTTCTCTATCCTCCTTCTCTTTTCTCTCTTGCTCTTCTTTCTCCTTCTTTACTCTCTCTTGTTCCTCTTTTTCTTTCTTCACTCTTTCTTGTTCTTCTTTCTCTTTCTTTATTCTCTCTTGTTCTTCTTTCTCTTTCTTTATTCTCTCCTCTTCTTCTTTTTCTTTCTTTATTTTCTCTAGCTCTTCTCTCTCCTTCTTCAATTTCTCTTCTCTTTCCTCTTTCGCCTTCCTTTCATTCTCTTCTTTTTCTTTTTCTCTTTCTTTTTCTTTTCTCTTTCTCTGTCTCTGTCGCTGTCGGTGTCTCTTCCTTTTCTATTGTTTTCACTTCAGTTTCCTGTTTAACCTCCACCGATTTATCAGCTGCTGCTTCTGGTTGTTTATCTTTTTCAGGAGTTTTCTCCTTTTTCGTATCCAATACTTCAGCGGGTTTAACATTAGTTTCATCTTTTACTTCAACCGCGGGCTTGGGTGCAACTTGTACGACTTTCCTTGGTCTTGCAGATTCTGGTACAGATATAAGGCAAACAGCTTCGACGATACGTTTAGGTGACAGAGAAAATCTTCTAAGTTCACTGAATGAGTGAAGATATAAAGCCTCAGCGTGAGATGTAAATCGTAATAAAGAGATGCGTGATTTGTATTGAGAATCAACAAGTGGAGCCTTCATCTTCTGCTCCAAATCAGTGGTAAAAACTTCAATTTCTCGACTGTTGGTGAGGCAAGTGATACATTGTTCTGTTATTGATTCATCAAGAGTTGATGTAAAAGATGAGATTGATACATGTGAGGCTTTAACTCCTTCTCCTGCAGTTAACTTGTATTTAGAATGATGTTTAAGTTGAGGAAGTGTGAATAAGATGAACTGCTCTTCTGTGCACACTAAAACTTTATCAGCTGCTGATGGGGCTCGGGCTTTACCATGTTTAACCTCCAAGGGATCAGGTAATGGATACCCAGTAGAATCAATTGGATGAATAAATACAACGGGAGCAGCATGAGCTAATTTTATCTCTCTGCCATAAGTGAAGGTAATTTTTTCAGTTTTTCTCATTTCTTCTTCACCTTCTTTGGGCGTTAGACCTGGAACTTTGAAAGCAAATGCATAGACAACACCCGCTTGGGTACCAACCCATAAAGTTGGAGCTTGTCCTGAATCTTTCTTGTCTATTCCGGCTAGACCAATATAAAGAAAATTAACTACTGCTCCAGTTATTTCATCTTTAGGGCGAGCTTCAACACGCCTCTCATTTGGTTTAACTCTAAACGTTTTAACTTCTTGGGCAGGAGATGAAGATGATGCCTGAGAGGAATCAGGTTTCTTTAAATCTCTCAGAGATCTAAGACGTTTCAAATTACGGAAAGAGTAACGAACAGATTTCCTAAATGAACTATGCCGAGAGAAGGGAGCATCATTTTCGGACAAAGCAGCAGAATCCTTGGTGTTTAATGTACTTTTGGTGACAACGACGGTGTGTTGAAGAAAATCATAAAGACCAAAACCATAAGAAGTACCAATGGCAAGTAGATTCCATTCAGCATGCCAAGCTAAATGGGTTATGTACGAGGGAGGATTTGTTTGAATTAAGGCTTGTGCAGTAAAACCAACAAATTTAACATGCTCTGAACGAGGTTTAGGGGCGGGTTGACCTTTCCATGGGAAATTTTCTTCTGGACGAATAATATTCATTGTTTTTACCACAAGAGGAGTAAAATTATTATCATCTGCTAAACTGAAAACAATCACTTGGCCACAGCCTCCACCAACGACAAGAGTTGATGAATATGGGGAGAAAATAACTTTTTGAACTTTCAATCTAACATCGTCAGCGAAAGGGTCGTAGGAACCAACGCTTCGAAAAGGTGGCCACTTTTCTTCAACTTCTTTGTTACTCTCATTAGCTGGAACCTCGTCAGAATCAATAGGAATTAAATCATCTTCTAGGAAGTTGAAAAGCTTCGAAGTTTCAAGGGAACACAAATGGCGAAGAGAAACATCTCCGGCTGCCCAGAAGTTAACATTACCGTTGTCATGACCAGTCACTAAAACGTCATTTGTAACGGTAAAAGGTTTTTCTGTGACGATTCCTCCTTTAATAGGCCATTCACGAATAGTGTACTTATTTTCATTCTGTTTAGCACCGATTGATTGAAGTTTGCTGAAAACATCTTCAGGTATGTCAGAGAAATACTGACATGCGGTCACATCGGCAGAATGGATTGAATTTAGATATGGCAATGGGTATTGAAGCCAATCTGGATGTTGAAGATCAATAGCAACAATTTCTTGGGCTGTAAGAACTATCAAAGCTTCCGGATAGTCAAATATTTTTTCATCTTTATCGTCAGAATTGATAACAATAAAGTCAATAACATTGGAAGGAAAGTCAAAGACATGATGCTTCTTTTCGGCTCCGTTTTTGATTATTGTCACAGGATATTTATGAGAGTAATCATATCTTGGGAGGCCACCACCAAAAATGAGGTATTCTTCCCTGAAAAGAATAATAATTAAGATAATTAACATTAGACAATTATCTTAGAGTTTGTCTTTCTCTCTCAAAGAATAAGAGATGAATAAGAGATTAATGAAACAGTTGAAATATGAAAGAAATAATTACTTGTCAATAGTTGTCAAGCCAATTATCTTGTGAACTGGTTTACATGCATAGGGTCCGTATTCCTTTTCTGGAGGCTGAGAGGGTTTTAAATTGTCATCTAATTTCCATTTAATGTAAATACCATCGGCATGAGAGCTAATAAATTGATCACCGCTTCTCAACCAACAAACAGATTCTAGATGCTAAAAATAAGCAAAAGAGAGAGAGAGAGAGAGAGAAAGAGAAGGAAAAGTGGAGAAGATGAAAGAAAAGAAGCACAAAAAGTTAGGTTAGTTAAATATTGACATAGACAGTTGGGGAAGAAGATGAAAGAGAAAAAGTGAGAATTATCTCTAAATAAACTTACCTGGTTTGCGATGTAAAAATGCTCAGTAGTTAATGTTTTATTGTTCCATAGAACAATCAAACCTCTATTGTAACCAATTAAGAATTTACCAGCGTCACGAGGTTTTTCAACAATAACTTCAACTTCACCTGGATTACTTTTTTTCACTGAATCTTCAGGTATATTTTGAATGACCACATCTTGATAGATTATCTCATCGGTGAGGTCAAATGTTGCTAATGAAAGGATGTATATATTGCCTCCTTGAGTTCCAACCAGTAAAATTTCATTGGTAGAATTGATGGTCATAGTGGTAATTTGTTTAAGATTTCCTTCTCTTTGCTCCTTATGAAAATGAGAACAAGTTTTCACTTTTTCAATGAAGCTTCTTTCAATTCCATTTTCCTTTTTTTGAACATTAATTTCACATAAACTTAGACTATTGTCACTACAGAGAACAACAATTTGTCCAAGTCCTTCGACAAATTTAATTTGACGAATTTCAGTTTCTTCTCCAAGTGATATTTCCAATTCAACACCCGGTCGACCATGAACCTTAATAACACCATTTTGTGAACCGATGGCAAATAAACTAAGTTTACTGTCATAAGCCATACAAGTTGGTGAATGTGGAAATCCATGAGAAATTGTCTATTATAATAATAATAATAAATTAAAACCATAAGGTAGATAGGAGAGATTAATAAAAAAAAGAATAGAACAAAATAAAATAATAAAGAGAATAAACCAGAAGAAAATTGATCATCACAACAAGAAAACAACACAAAACTTTCAATTCCATTTAAATCTCTCTCTCTCTCTTTCTCTCCTTATTTAAAATTTTCTACAAACACTAATACCAATTTCCATGAATCAGAAACAATGCTTATTTAAGCTAAAATTTAGAATAAAAAAGGAATAAACTAAACAAAAAAGGTAACATATTTAAAACAATAGAAAATAAAAAAGAGAAAATTCTTCTTACCTGTTTCAAAGCGAATGCCTCCTTTGGCAATTTAGATTTAGTAGCTGATTTGTAACTTTTTCCTCTCAAATATTTCAACATATTGATTGGCTTATTAATCGTTTATTGAACACAACAAAATAATTCACTTCAGGTTACAAAATAATAATAATAAAAAAGGTAAATAAAAAATTAAATTAAAATACAATAAAACAAAAGATGAGAGAGAAATTGTCAACTTTTTTGGGTTGGGTTCGGCTCGGGTACCCGCTTACATTTGCGCAGAAAATGCAAAGAAAGCGAATCCGAAAACAGAGTATCTTTTATCCGAAAAGAGAATGAGAATCAATTTAGTAGAGAAAAGAACAACAGTTTATCGGGTTTCGAACCCGTTTGGATTTAGATATTAGATAACCGAATACGGACTGAATTCGCTTTAATTGTTTTTCCATTTCACCAATTTACTAATTGGTGAACTTTAATTGTTTGTTATCATCTGATTCTGATAGAAATGGTTAATAATTAATAACATTTGGTATATGTGAACTTCTTTCACAAATTGATAAAAACTGTGAAAAATTAATTGTTTTAAATAATATGGTTTAAGTTGAATCGGATTTAATTGTTTCTCTCTGATCCTAAGATTTGATTTCAATTAAAGTTCACCAATTAGTTAATTGATGAAGTCTATGCTTCCAATGTTCATTGTTAATCATTGAATTGGATTTATTTGGGTGGAATATGAATTAAGATTAATTGTTCATCCAATCAGTGAAGATACTAATGGCTCTTCTGAATTAGTAAATTACTAATAGTAATGAGTGAAAATGGTTAACTAATTTTCTTACTCAATAACAATAAGAATCAATTTTGGATTAAAAATTAAATCATTGATTAACCATCATTAAGTTGATTGCGAAAACTAAATCCATTCAGTTGACTAGAAGTAAATTGTCGATTATCAAGATAATCAAGAACAAATAATTCGACTTTGTGATCTAAACTCAATTCTCTTAAATTATTTCTCTCTCTCTCTCTCGATCTTATAATTGGATTAATTTAAATTGTAAATTGATTCTCTTTCAAACATTTATCTAATTGATAAACTCGAGAAAAAAATCGATTAATTAATAATAGTATTTGATTGAAATTCGCGGCTCGAAAATGTAAAGTGTCACTTTGGAATATTTGGAATCCAAAATCTACATTTCACCAAGTTTCAGGTCATTGCGGTCATTGTGTTTGGACAAAGTTTCAAGGTCATTTGATAGAATGAAATCACGCTCATGATTAGGCTGCTTACGATTTTACAAAACGACCTTGAAACGTTGTCCAAACAGAATGACCTTGGTAGCGTTCAAACTCCCATAAATCGATTCTGGGGTCTGAATAATCAAAACAAGAAAAGTTATTCGAGAAAAACTTTTTGAAATTTGGTGAAATGCCCTGTAGATTGTCACCTAATCTTGTTGATTGTTAATCATTCTGATTGATTGTTCATCTCTTTTTTAGAGAATTTAATTGTTATTAGTGATTAGCTAATTAGCTTGCGTTTTTTTTTCATTTCTTTTCGAGTGAAAATCTTCCAATATGGAGACAATATTTTTTTCTATTCTTTTCCCTGGAACCACATGTTGATATTTCTCAATGTGTTTCCATTTAATTAGGAACACTTGTTTTTCCGACTAATTTAGTCAATCGAATGTATTTATGATCAAATACAATCAAGTTTTCTCTTTGTTTTCATTTCTTTTTGTATAGAATATATTGAATGTGAGTGAGCAATAATTACATTATTATTATCATTGGAAGAAAAAACCAACAACGGGGAGAGAGTGAAAGATAGAAAATTACAATTAATTTAGTCTTGTCTTTGCTTGAGATTAAATTGATTTTCTAAAATTTTCATGGCTTTTATGTGTGCACATCCTGGACGAATTATTTTGTACCTTCCTTTGACCGTTAAATCAATTACAGTTGACCCTAATCTATCTGGATCTTGGTTTAATTGTCCACCATCAAAAACTGCATCAAGATGAGGCCAAAGTGAATTAAATTCATTTACAGAGATGCTACTTTGTTGATTACTAATATTGGCACTTGTTAGGGCTAATGGTTGACCCAAAGATGAAACAATTGAAAGGATAAATGGATCATTTGGAATACGAATACCAATTGAAGATGTATCCGGATTAAGAGATGGATTAAGTGAAGATGATCTTTCAAATATTAGGGTATATGGTCCAGGTAATAAGGTTGATAAAAGTAAATTTGATACAGTCAATGGATAATTGACTAGAGACCATTGAGTTAATTGTTCAACAGAAGATAAACAAATTGCCAATGGTTTACAATTGGAACGACCTTTAATTGTATAAATACGAGAGACAACCGAAGATTTTTGAGCTAAACCAAGGATTCCATAAATTGTGTCCGTAGGTACACCGATTACACCTCCATTGGTAATTAAATCACAGGCTAATTTAACAGCTTTACTGTTAACCTTCCCATTAACATTATATACAGGAATCAATTTACTGGCCATTGATGAAATCATAACAAAAAAAGATTAACGATTAATGGAAAATGTGATTGTGAGATGATGATCAGCAAATTGTTGATGATGAACAACAATAACACACAACAAAAACATGGATTAAAAACAACATGAGAGAGCCTTGGATTAGGCGCAATCTCTCATAGAGAAACCCAAACGTTTAACACCCGATTTCAGGTTGAGAGAGAGAGAGAGAGGGATTAATACGGGTGGATAAACATGAGACCAATTTTGTTTATTATATTCGAGATGAGAGAGTAAATATATTAAGTCAACAGTTATTGTCTCGTATCCATCCGAGTAAAAAAGCCAATGTTAAAAAATGGAGAAAATGAGTAAAAGGGAAAAGAGTAAAGAGAATAGAAAAAAAAAAGATGAAACAACCTTTGGTCTTTTTTGAGAGTTAATTGTAATTAGATATTTGGTCCACTTTTAAAAAACAGGTAAGTATCATCGTTCTGGATATTTGTTAATGAGTAACAGGTTTGAACAGGAATTCTAATTATTGAATTAACACCATTATCTTTATAAACTGGAGTCTCGTCTATTTGAACATTAACCTCACCAGTGAGAACACAAAATTTATGGGCAACTGGTCCACTATTTTGATTTGTTTTAATTGCTCGAGGTTCCATCTTGATTAATCCAATTAATAGTTGTGAAGGTTTATTATGGTATAAATAAGCTAAATGTATTCCTTGGGATAATGAGCTTTTCGTCCATTGAACCTCTTGGATAAATGAGAGAATCTTTTTCCTTGTCGCCTCATGTTTCTGATTGTTTATATGAACCACCGGTTCTCGTCGTTTAAATTCATGATCTCGGGTATCACCAAATTTTAGAAAAGAAGAGAAATCAAATTTACTATCAGTAACTGAAACTGATACTTCATCCATTTTAAAACACATCCAATTATCCTCACCAAAGTGATTAAACAAATAAACAAGAACAAAAAAAATTTCCAACTAAAAGTGAACAATTTAAAAAAAATGTTAAGAAAACAAACCAAGTTCGGTTTAGAAAATAAGAGATGTCGCCACTTGTTCTTTTCTATTCTAAATTTTTCTCTTTCTTTTTCTCTTTCTTTTCTTTATTAAAATTTAATTTTTTTTTTCGAATCAAAATTTTCTTAATTATCTTTTTTTAAATCTTTTAAAGAGATTTAATTGTTTAGAATTTGATTGAAAGTAAATAACTTTGTTTGGAAAAAAGAGAGATGAGTTGAGACCTTTGAGCTCTTTTAGCTTTAGCTAATTAATTCGTAGTTAAATTGGTTAACATTTTTTTTTCGTGTCATTTGTTTTGTTGATTTGGTTAATTATCTAATCAAGTGATTGATTAAATGGTTGATTATGATGTTTATCAATTGAAGAAATATTAATTGTTAATTGGGTCTAGAAATTTGTCACCTGCTAATTACCCTCATGGGTAAAACCTTAAAACAATTCCCAATGAGATCAATTAATTTCCATGGTTAATAAACTGTAATCTCTGCCTTTTCCAGCAATTAGCCATTTATTGATTAGTTAAGTGACATGACAATTTAATATTAACCTTTTCGTTTTGAACTGGTCAAAAGTTTTGTTTTGTAATCATTTAATCATTGACAATCAGTGGAAGTTGGTTTACTTTATTGTTACAATGTTGTTGATTACTGTTAATCTGCTGTTCATTTTATTGATTATTAAATCATCTATTGGATCGGAAGAGTTGACAACTCCATCAGTTGATGGATTAAATTCACTTGTACAATTGGATGATTTACCGATCCCATCGGGTGACCTGGAGTCGCTTCGTTCATCTCATGTGACCGATGCGTCTGTTCAATTGGTCGCCGACGAAGCACTTGTTTCACAATTAGAATTGATTCCATTCATTGATTGTGTCTCACGAGCAACGGGAAAACGTTTCCCGACCATTGACGATGTCATAAATCGCCTCGAAAGTTATACTTTGTCTCAATTTATCGACGAAATGTTCAAGTGTTTACAGTCTAAAGCGTTTCGATCAAAGAGACGATTGAAATTATTAAGACAAACAGCGACTGGACTAACTCGACTTGGTAGTTTCAGGCCAGAAGAAAAGCCGAAAGTAGAGGAGCCCGATCGTGAAGAACTACCACCTAAGGTCAAACCTGGTAAAATCGAACGTCCAGAAGAGAAACCGGGTAAAATCGAACGTCCAAATGAGAGGCCAGATAAAATCGAACAGCCAAATGTTATCCCAAGACCAGGAAAAGAGCGAGGCGATGGTCGAGTCGAAATATTCTTCGTTCGACTTCGTTGGGTTCTCTGGCAGTATCTTAGACAATTAAAGAAACAAGGAGGTAAAATGTTGTCCTCGAATTCAATGTCCCCTGGAGTCGAAGGTCGAACCATTTTCTTCCATTCAGATCCAATTTACCAGCGACGTCATCGATTCCGTGTCGCTCGATTACCAATTACCACAGAAATTGATTGTATCCTTTTTGGCCTCAAGTGTAACACATTGATAATGGATTCTGGACTTTCGCAACTTCCAGTCCGTTTATCGCCCGCAGTAGTCACTGAACCTATTTTAGACTCCGTTGATTACGATTATGATGATCCTCTTGCCGATGAAGACGGGAACGTATTGACCCTTTCTGATAACGATAATCTTGGTGGACTAATTGCCGATAGTATCGAAGATGTTGCCAAGACTGTTTACCGGTTCGGCGGAGGTTTCCGACGAGTTCAGAGACACTTTAATCGTTTCCTCAATTCGGGTGCTGATTTGATTCTTGGCTAATCGATCACAAAGATCATTTGTATAATTGATTCCAAAATTTCAATCGTAACTTTAAAATGCTTTCAAAATACACAATCGAAATTGTTATCATCAAATTATCAAATGAGTACTTTGATTGTTTTTCTCCTTGATTTTGTTTGATTGACAAATAAAAACCAAAGGTAACAATTAGCTAAATCATTTTCACCTCCAAATTAATTCAAGGTTTGTTATGACCAATGGTCAACAATTTATCATTAATTATGATATATAATAATAAACCCCGAGGTAAAGGCAATCAAGTTCAATTTTTGATTCTTATCAATTTTATTCAACTTTTATTAACAGCAATCAGTTAATTTCAAGGTTTAATTGTGATTAAGATCTTCAGTTATGAATTGGGAAAGTAAATGTAATCAAGATGAAAAGTTTAATTGCAATTATCATATCTACGGTTATTTTCATCATATTGCTTAATAATAACTAAAATTAAGTAATTTTGTAAATAATCAACAAAATGTTATTATTAAATTGTTTGCATTGAGAAAACAAGTTAGTAGTATTTAAACAAAGAGTTAACAACTTTTACAGATAATTAAATGATTCTGATTGTAATTAACATCAACAAATGAGAGACATTACATAAATTAGCTAATCATGATTAGTTATGGTCAGTAAATTGTTCCTAATCAAATTTCAATTCATCAACCTTGATTAACTTTCAAACTTGGAAACTAAATTAAATAACAAATGGACATTTAATTAGTCAACAACTGATTATCAACAATTTAAATAATAAACATGATCAAGGTTAGATTAACAAGGTGTTTGACTAATCATCATGATTTAGTAATGAATTAAGACAAACAAAATTAAATTAACTAACCATTAAATTTGTTTATTTTATTTCTGTTATCAAATTGAATCTTCAATTGTCCTTGCCAGTTAATCACTTAATCATTTCAATCATAACACAATTAACAACAACAAAAAAGGCTAATCAATCAATTCAAGAGAGAGTGAATCAATTTGAAAACTAAAGAAATACAAAATTAAGCTAACTAATTATATAATTGTTGATAGTTAGGATGATGATTAGTTACAATAAAAAATGTTAATCATAAGCAATTAAGCTAACAAGGTGTTTAAGGTTATATTAATATATGAGAGTATTTTAAATTGTTATTACAATTAAGTAGCATTTAAATTGCAGAAAGAAATAAATTTGATTAAGTAAAGAAACAATTAACATGTTATCAAATAATTTTTAATACAATCACGAAATAATTAAGGGATTACAATTAAAGGTGAATGATGAATGAAGCGAAATTAGTGAAAATGTTAAACTAATTGTTCGCAATTGATTTAATTACCATTTACGGAAACCAATTGTCACCAAGATGGTGGAGATGAGTGCATACAAAAGGGAGTAAACTATGTTGGTGTAAACCAAAGGGTCAGTGAAAGGTTTTCCCTTGACCAGTGACCAGACCAACGAATCGCCCGAAGGTGCAAAGGGAAACCAATAGACAAGGGTTTGATGAAATTGGGAAGTGATTCGTAAGGCCAAATTAGGTAACTAATGAAGAGACTACAGAAACAGTAGCCCGAATGAACGAAAGCGGCCACAATAAGGTCACTTGAGACTAGACCGGTGAGAACACCTTTAGTTATACCGCAAAGGGTGATTGCAAAGGTGGTCAGTACAACCGCAAGAAAAGAGCCTCGCATGGGGAAGTTAAGAGTCGGTATTAGAATTGTAAATAGAATCATGTAGATCGGCACAATGACCATGGTTGCGGTCAAAATCAGGGCGAAAATTAACTGGACACGACCAATTCCAGCGGCCATTAGTCGTTCATTCATCTTTTCCTTGACCTCTTGCATTGTCCAGCTCATCATTAATAGAATCGTGAACTGTTCAACTGCGTATAAAAAGTAACGAATCAAAACCATTTCATTAGACAACATAAGGTCATCGGATTCATGGGACTTGTAGATCGGGTCAATGGTGAAAAATTGATAATAATTGACGCTAATATTAAGACTTGATCTAATTTCTTCAAGCAATTTGTTCAAACTACGGGTTAACATGATGTCGAGTGTGTCCACGTTGAATTGATTGGACGAGTCAACGGTCAGTAAAATTTTATCTGCAACCGATGGCCTGAAACCCTGACTTCCACTGACCATTGGACCTCCAGCAAATGATGATAAACCTTTTTCAATCCTTTCTTTCACAAGGTCACCAAAAGTTTCACCGATAATAAAGTAACCATCGATGAGGCCATTCTCAAGGTCCCGTCGACTTTGTAACTCAGAATACACTCGATTAAGGCTAATATTGTTTCGTGCTAGATGGTAAAGGAACTTTTCAGAGATGTTTTGATTTCCTGATTCAGAATACATGTAATCTAATGTAAGACCTTTCGGGAAACGGCCAAACATTGAACCGAAAGTACCGATGATGATGAAGATAACGAAACAAGATAAAATAATCGGATAGATCATGAAACGTTTACACCTTAACCAAAGTCGCCAAATTAATATTGACAAGACTGTACAATTGGAAAGTGGTTCCCATGATTCAGTGGATGAGGTTAAAGATGAAAATGAAGATGATTTTGAGGTTGATGCTAATGATGAGGTGGTTGATGTTAAGGTTGAACATGATGATGATGAAGATGATGATGAGGGTTGATTTGTACCTTCAACCGTTACTTTGGTCATTTTTTCCTCCGGTGAAAATTTATTCGCACAGGTTATTACATCAACCGCTTCGGGGCAAGTTGATGATGAGGATGATGATGGTGGTGGGGATGATGATTCATTCTGTTTGTCCCACTCGGTGCACAATTTGAACACTGCCTTTTCCAAGGAGGTCTCTTTGTATGATTCCATGAAAGACTTTGGATTATCCTCTGCGATAATTTGACCTTTTCTCATTAGCCCGAATCGATCTGCTTTCACAATCTCTTCTAAGTAATGAGTGGTCACTACAATGGTCATTTTATAGGTGTCACGAAGGTGAAATAAGTAGGTCCACATTTTGTAGACCAACAATGGATCTGAACCAACGGTTGGCTCATCGAGAAGTAAAAGTTTCGGCCGATGGATAAGTGATGCGGCCAAAGAGATACGACGACGTTGACCAATTGAAAGGTTACTTATTAACCTATGGGGATATGGAATATCGATGACTGATAAAAGTTCATCGATTCGGGAATTGACCGTACTCATAGGAAGATCGTTTAATCGTCCAAAGAAAGTTAACATTTCCTTAATTGTTAGATCTTCGTTAAGTGCTAAATCTTGCGGCATAAAACCAACCAATGGACCAGGAACACCGAACCCTTTTTCCAATGGTGATCTACCGAAAACTAACAATCGCCCATGAGTTGGTCGGTAAAAGCCAAATATACATCGTTGTAAGGTCGTTTTGCCGCAACCTGATGGACCGATTAGACCATAAATCGCACCTTTGGGCACTTTTATCGATAAATTTTGAAAAATAGTCACTGGTTTCCAACTTTGTCCCAAACTTAGACCCAAATTAAGGCCAAGAATGGCATAATCATTCACTTTCGCTGCCATCTAATATTATCTTGATCAAGAAAATAAAATCAACAATTAAAGACTTGAAACAAAAATCAAGACTGAAAATAAACTTCATCAATGTAATCTAAACCTTCCCACTCATATTACAATTAACTCTCATCACTTTTACCTTCATTATTATAATTTAAATAAAGAAAAATCGAAAGAGAGAGAGAGAGAGAGAGAGAGATGAGTAAGATTAATTATGGATTAATTGAAAGTGATTTAATCCAGCCTGAGGTTTAAGTTATGATGATGATGATGCTGCTAGCCTCGTGCCGTAAATGAATTGGCAATCAAAAAGTCTGGAAAACACGCAATTAACTTGATTGTGATACTAAACTGTAAACATTAATAAGTAGCACGAAATTAAAAGGAACCATTTTTATCCCAAAAAATGGATTGAATTTCAAGGTGATCGGGAAGCTCATCAGCTCAGGAAGTTACTAATCAGCACTCTCACGATTAAAGTTATTTAATCTGATTCTCGAATCGAAACAATTTAACTACAGGGCAATTGGAAAGATTCAAATTCTCATACCAAAGTCTCAAGTTTTCCTTGACCAGGAGGAGGTGGAGGAATACGTGCTAAGAATTAACAGAAACCATTAAAATCATCAGCACGTTACAACGATTAATCGAACTCCTAATGTTCTAATGAGAAAATGAAGAAATTCGAATTTGTTTTTTCATTTCTATCAACAGTTTTATATTCCTATTAACCTGGAGGGCCTTTAATTGTTTCGTGTTTACATTGAACGTTTAAAAATGTTATAATTCCTACGCACGATTAATACTTGCGATGATTATGATTAGTTAATTATAGTTAGTTAATAGTTTGTTATACTTAATCTATTTGCCTTGGGAATTAAGGTTAACTTTAAATATTTAATACTTGACTTTTGATTCTGTAACAATTTTACCCAGGAAAAAAAAAGTAAATTACAATTTTAATCATTACAAATTGATTAATTTAACTTCTAGCTGATGTAAATTCAACAATATTTGATACTTGTCATCAATTCTTATATGTTAGACTCACTTTAATTACAATATTTAAATGACCAAATGTAAATAGAAGTTGATTATTATTGTTAATTGAATTGGATTGAAAATTCTTACCTTAATTATGATCAGATGATATTGTACATTAGAGTAAATCAAAAACAATCAGTAACTTAATCACTAGATATGAGCACAAATTAATTGTTGGAAACTTTGAACAACACAATAACAGCAACAAAAATCGAGAGTAGCACAAGGAAAGGAACAGTAATTAACAGTAATTAAGTAATTAAATGAATTAAGACTGAGCTGAATTATATATAAATTGAACATATAACAAGCAAATTAAACTTGATCATCCATTTTTCTCGTGTTATGGTTTAATTTACAATGAGACATCAACTCCAAATGGCCGGAGGCAGAAATGAGCAACGAAAACACCGACACAAATTACACTGATGATAAAGAAAAAAGATTCTAATCACAATTATCAGCTTATTACCAAGAGACGGCGAAAGAGAACTGGAATTTCAACAATCAAGTAATTAATCAGCTTGATTCCAATGATGGAAACTAAATGGTCTCCGTGTAAGTGGACAAATGAATGTGAAGAGAGTCCAGCAAAAAGAAATCCTCTCCACTCCGACTCCTTTGAACCTCCTCCTGAAACTTTTGCATCAATTTCCCAATTTCTCATATCCTGATGATTATCATGATATTCATCATGGTCCATGGTCATTATAACCACGACAATTAACTTCCTCCTCCTTTAATATAGTTACGATATATTGGCCTTCCTCTTGATCGCAAATCTTAAAAGTGTCAAGGAAAAACAATTGAAATTAGGACAAACACTTTAGCACCAAATCCAAGGGTAACAACTATGTAACTGATACACCTTAGAAATTAACTAAATCATTTACAATTAAGTTAATTGTAAATTATCAGCCAAATGGTTAACCACCAAATACTCAAAGGTCAACGATATTTAACTTTTTTTGTTTAGTTTTACAATTTGATTTTATCATCGTTACATTTATAACATTGAGTTTACTTATTTAAATTGTTGTTGTTGATTGTTAATCAATTATTAATTGTTGATTGTCATTGGAATTCACTAATTTAGATTAGTTTGTATTATTTAATATCACAACTTATTGATTGTTATCTTTTAATTGTTGAGTATTTTGTCTGGTAAAAGTTTTCATTTCAATGTGAACATTGGATGTTCAAAGTTAATTGTTCAGTTTTAATTTAATTGTTAGTGATTCTTATGGCTTAATTGTTATTATCCAGCCGAAATTTAGTTTAATTGTTATTATTATTGCTTTTTTCCAATGTAAACTATGGTTAATTTTTTTTTCATGGTTAACGAATGGGAAATTGATCATTATTTTGATCAACTAATTACAATTTGATTGTTAATTGTGAGGGAAATTAATCAACAATTCGATGATTAGTAATATCAATGGTTGATCATTTTTTGTATTTAAAATTTTTCGATTCTTGTAATTAATTCAATCAATCAATCTAATTGATTGAAGTAAAAATATTATTTGATCATATAAATAATTAATTGTAACCATTTTCATTAATTAAACATCATCATTAACCATTCACCTTGAGTTAATACATTAATTTTACAATTATATTAAATTATGGAAGAGTTTAAAAAGTTAATATTTAACAATTAGTTGATTGAAAATTGAAAAAATTTAAAAACTAACTTACAATTTCTCACTAATTAATCATTAATGATTAGTTTTCATTTTTAACCAATCAATCAGATGATATGAGTAGATTAAAAGTTTTCCTGTCATTAATTGTGAATTAAATTGCTGAGGAAAAAGACAAAATGATTTAATGATTTGCAAGACAATTAACTTGCCTAAGGCAATTTACATCGTCTAATTGTTAACAATTTAATTTTTTGTACAAATTTTCAGGCCTCATCAATGATTTAACATTGATTGTATTTCACTTGATTTAGTCAATTAATTTGATTGTTATTTTGATTAACTTTTGAGGAAGTTAATTCATTTATTTAATTGTATTAATTTGAGAATTAAACATCTTTGGGAATTACAGTTTTCAAGTTTGACTCTTGATTGTTGATTAACATTTAATTTGTTTACCTTTTGACCAACATCGCATCAGTTTAATTGTATTGGTTAATTGAATTTGATTTTTGGTTTCATTAAATTAAATTATGGATTAATTTTGTCTCCATAACAGTTAATAAATATTTTCTTTTTGTGTGTGTCTTCAATATAATGGGAATGTGTAATTACAATCAGTTAGAGGGGAAGGATAATCAAGTTAATTGTTGTGTTACTGATGTGTGAACAAAAAAAGAAAAGGATTAATTGTTAATTAACGAAAAAGAATCAAACTTAATCTTTCTCATTGGGTAATATCATTTTTTTTACAATGGGCTTTGATGTAAATCTTGTAGGCACAATATGAACATGAATTAATGGTATTTGTTGATATAATGGTGATTAAGATGATGAAATGGATGCTGATCATTAATTAGATTGATTTTCTTTTCCTTGGTTAGCAAATTGTTTTGATTGATAAGCTTTTTGTGTCTTCATTTGCATTTAAAGCATTTGTTAAACATTGGGCGGTGGAAAAGTTGACTAATATGATTAATGAATTGTTTAAGAGTTTGGTGGGTATGTGATTGGTAAATTGTTTGTTGATTAAAGTTGATCGATGGTGAGAATTGTTGAATTAATTGTTTCTTAGGTGGTGATTTACTTAAAGGTCTTGTAGATATTTGTAGTTGCAGGTATTGTATATAAGTAATTTGTTTCAATAGTATTTATATTCATTGTAAATATAATACATTGATTGAAATGGTCTAAATTATTATTTGATAATTAGTAATAATAATTTTTTTTCTCTGTCTACCATTGCATTAACTCATTATGAAGTATAAATGTTTAATTGTAAATCCTTTCATTAAGAATCAGCAATCAAGTGGTAAGAGTTTTAAGACGAAGTGGTGACGCTCAGTGGGTAAAATGCTTAGCAATTGTCGTCGCTTTTGTTACTCTCTTGGTGGTTTTTGTTTTCATGGTTGATTAAAAAATAAATAGTTAAGTAATGATAAGTATGATTGGAGTTGGATGATTAGTGAAGTCAATCAACTAGGATATTATTGTTGTTGTTATTTCGATTGTTGTTATAGTTAATTGCTGGTGATTGGTGGGCATGAAGAGCTTCCTCATCGTTACGAGAATCATCATCAATTATTTCAATTCCATCATCTTCTTCATCTTGACCTGAAGTAGGTGCTGGTGGTTGTGGTGGTGATCGTTGAATATCATCATTTGAATCATTTTTATCAGCTGGCATACTGAATATTTCTGTAACTTTAACTCGTTTCTTTTCATCTAAATAGTAGAAAGCCATTAATGCTTGACTGTTAGAAGCAACGTCCATTATTTTATCCAAAGTCTCATTATTCTTTACCATTCCACTTAATTCACTGTTGGCGAAACGTTCAAAATACTCTTTCTCAATGGATAAAGCTTTGTTGGTCACTTCTTTAGCATCAAGATCAATCTCTTGCGGATCAACATTTTCACCCAATGATTGTAATACTGTAAGTAATACATCATTACAATTACTCAGGTTGTTAGTTGAATTTGTACTGGAGGTTTCATAGCTTTCATCCATTTCACCTAAGGCGTACCGACGACGGGTACTGTTTTTACGAGATCCTGAAGGTAATCGATCGATTGGAAGATCAACTGTGAAACCAAAGTTCATCCTAGAACCATTGATACTATTACTACTAATATTATTGGAAAGACCGGCAACCGTTTTGCGACGTTCACGTTGACAGGAAGAGCTTCGAGTTAGATTACTAGAAGAGTATGAGAATTCTTTACCAGCATAAGAATTGCGTTTGATTTTACTTTCCTCTCTCAGTCTTGACCTAAAAAAACAACATGGAACAAAAAAAACAGAGATAAAGATAATCAAAGATTAGTGATATGATATAAACAAAGAACAAGTTATATGGATTAATATCAAAATTGATAATGTTATTGATTTTATCTCAGTTTTCCCCTTACATAAGAGCATAATAAATATGAGGAACATGTGAATGACAACCAATCAAATCACAAAAAAAAGCAAAAACATTTGAGTGACAAAATGAGAAATTATTTCGTAAATAAAAGTTTATATAATTCGTAAGAAACTTGATTTGACATTAAGATTATCTGATTCTGGTTGACATCATCATCTCGTCACCTGACGATTCAATGATCACAACATATGAGGTGATATGAGATGAGTTAAATCATTTACACAGTTGCTGGTTAATCATTATGTCAGCAAATCATTAGAAAAGTAATCGTTTCAAGCACAAATCATCAAATAATCACCATTAATATTAATAAGTTATTTATAAATCAGATTAAAGTAAAAGATTTTCTCAAAGCTATGGGAATCCTTAGATTTTTTTTACTCTTTCCCTAATAATGTCATTGTAAGTAGAGAACAGGTAAAAGTGTTTTCAGTAAGAAAGGTGAGCATTTATACTAATGACATCTAAAATATTTAATCTGGTTTATTTATACATTTAATATAATTATTAAATGAATTGTAATTGTTTGATGATAAAACGGGGAAAGAAAGGAATTAATAATTGGTAGAATATAATTTTATCAGAACTTACCTTAAATCAGATGCTGAGGATAAACTCATTGGTGGGAGAGTTTCAGATTTTTCCAACCTTGAACTGGACGAAGACAATAACTTTGGATTATCATATGTTGATGTTTTCCTACGATTAAATGGCGATTCCAAGTTGAATACACTCTCTTTTCTTTTAACATTATTAGGTTTGGATATTTTAGTAGGAGATGGACCATTGGAATCATTGGTGATATTTTTACCCCCAAATTCAGTGATTGCAAGTTGACATGAGAATCGTGTGGTTGCTTTTTTCTTGTTATATTTATCCTCTTTAAGGATAAATGCTAACATATTGATAAGGCTTCTTTTAAGTTCATTGGTAATAACAGGAACCATACGTAAGCTCTTAATGGTAAATATTAATGCTAAATCAAAGGGAAGAGTAATGGGAATGGTCAAAAGTGATAGGACACGAACTGGACGGTGTTTGTAGATCCAATTGATTAAACCTTTGTTAACAGAGTCAATTGCTTCTTGAATGGCTTTGGCTACTGGATCGGGTAATGAGTGAAGGTCAAGCATTTCTCGACAACTTTTACATTCACTTGAATCGTCCAAGTGAAAATCAGAGCTAGTAAAAGTTTCACTACAATTATCGACAACTCGAAATCCTGGAACTTCTTTACTTTTATCTGGTTTCTTTTTTACATCTAAATCTTCCATAGTTATTATCTCCATATCTTCATCTTCAAATTCTTCTTCATCATCTTCCGTTTCTTCTTCGACCACATCTTCAATCATCTCTTCTTCGGGTTCAGACTCATTAGATTCTGCGAGAAGGAAACTTGACTGAATGGCAACACACCGAAGACATGAGATTTTATTTGTTCGTTGGAGAAATTTGAGAGCATCGTTAAATCCTTGTAGACACATTTTCGACATCTCTTCAGGATGTGGTGGGAATAAGATTCGAGTGATTCTGTACATATTCCCCGGACTAATGGAGAAACTTGTATTACTCAATTGAATTTGCATGTAATTGAAAGTGTTTTCTTGTGGACAGATATCACTTTCTCCAGCAAAAGGAGCTACGGTTACAGTAAAATCATTGAGAATTGGTAAATTGTCGGAAAAACCGCCGTCCATGTAAGCAACGCCATGAAATTTAGGGGGAAATACTCCGGACCAGCATGGAATGAAACAAGAACACTGAATTGCCTGTAAATAGAGATAACGAAAAGAAACAAATTTAGACAAATTAAACAGAAAAGCATAGAAAGAGAGATAATTATCAAGTAGAAATCATGAGCAATCAAGTAATATGTTGAAATAGATTATCAAGCCCTTCAAGGTCTCAAATCACCTTAGTTTCGTTTATCAATAATCAAATCAAGATAATAATTCAGCGAGAGAAAAACACATTAATCCATTCTCACTTTCATTGTCACATGCTATTGATTATCAACCTTGGTTAACTATTATTAGTTAATTTAGCCTTCACTTTCAATATGATTATCACGATTAACATTTAAAACTATTATTTAAAGATGATATCTCATTTGGCACTAATTCCTTTTATGTGTTTCCCCTGATCTAATGCCTCTTAATATTAATAATAATGGAACATATAAAATAATCAATGGTAAATTAATCAACTGATTGTGAGTGTTGCTGATTAAATTGTGATTATGAAATCACTTTACTAGTATAACTAACAACTACAATTGTATTTCAAAATAGGTATTAGTAGTGATTAGATAGATGATATTTCATGTGACAAAAAAAATTAATAATAATTATTATATTTGAGTAGATAGAAATCAATTGATGAGATGATATTGACTATAAGAAATGTTTAAGTAAATCAGTTGATTGGTTTCCTTTTCTACATAATCATCAAATAATCAACATCAATTGATTGACAAATATTAAACAAATATTAGGTGATTAAAATAGTAAAAATCGAAAACACTTTTCAAGAGTTTTCTATGATGTAAATAGGTAGAAAATAGATAGAGATAATTAATCTTTTTTGATATAATTATAATCAATTGCTAACGATAATTATATTTGAAAAAGACAATGATAATTACGATGATCATCATCGTTAATTGGAAAGCATGAGTAAACCAGAAAAAATTTACCGAAAACAACTAATATAATACCAATTTCATAATGATAACCTTCATTTACACTCAATTCAATCTGATTAGTTAAAATGAAAGTTAATTATGTTTTGAATTATAATTTACTTCATTTTGAAAAACAATCAGAATAATACTAATGCAGTTATTAAACTCATTCAGAAATTAATTTGGATTCTGTAAATTGTCACTTCCTCTATCTTTAATTTATCTTGACCCAGTTAATTGTGTGTGAAGAAAAAGCTAATCAAAAAATGTTTTTGATTCATAAATTTATTGATGTCCTTTAATTATTGGGGATACTCGTTAACCTTAAGAATTAACTTAGATACTTTTCTTACAAGGTAATTGTATTTTGGAATTGAAGAGATGAGATTTAAATGAGATTTAAATTACCAAAAGTTGATTGTTTACAATCAACAGGTAATTGAAAAAACAAGGTTAATTATGAGAAAACGATGGATAAACATGAAAAAGTTGTAGTAGTAACAAACAGAAAAAACTAATTATAACAAATGACAATAGAATCAACTGATTATTTTCACGTGTTAACAATTATCTTCCCTATGGTGTCACAATTAAATTATTGGTCAAAAAACTATAATTATAATTACGTTGATATCTATTAATGAACTGGGATAACCCATCGACCTGATTACTTGAAGTATCACAGGTAGAAAGGTATTTTCTGTTATTCAGTTAATTATTGCATAATTGCACGATAACAATTAAGAGGAATAATAAAAAAAACAGTAATTGTGAATTCAATGTACATAATAATACGTAGTAAACAAGTTGTTCAAGTGAGTAATGTGACCTTGAAGTGGGGATATCCTAAAGCTGAAGCTTAATGATGCATCATATGATGATGAACTAGTCAGGTTTGCATGGCTGTAACTCGGAAGTCATGAGGTTTACACACCAGAAAACACTGAAAAATTACCTTGAATGTTGATTAGAAAAACTATTCGAGTTCAACAATAAATTAAGGTTTCTAAGTTTCTTGGCATTATTAAAGAAAACAACAAGATACCAACCTGGATAAGATCGTCTTTAGAGTCAAAATGTGAGATTATCTTGTTTTTACCATCGCTGACACGGGTAACGCTGATAAATAAACGACCGGAAACTTTTTTATGAGCATCATCGGGTAAAGCTTAACCAGAGCATCGTATAAGATTTTGGTTACATCAAATGTCGGATGGAAAGGACCTAAGGCTCGAGATCTGGCTTTAATTGCTACTTTTAACAAATCACTTGTACTTTCAGCTGAGAAAGAAAATAAACAAATTAAAATAAACAAATAGAAAGAAAAACATTCAATTCTTTTGTATAATAAATCTTGTCACTTTTACAGTAAATGAAAGGGCTCAAAGTACTTGAAGATTTTCTGTCAAAATGTATTGATACTGTTAACAAGTTCATTGTCAAAGGGCTGATATGAATGAATCTTGACACAAGAGTTAACTTTTTAAAGATCCTGTTAAGTAAACGGAGTACAAATTAAACGAGAGAGAAAGGTCAACAGTCAAATCAACAGAGTACAGAGAAAAAGATGATGATGTAATTGACAGAAGAGATTGACATTTATGGGAAAAAAAGTAAACAAACAAAGAAGATCTTTACTCTTTGCCTTAAACATCAAATAGACTGAGAGTGATGAATGATAATGAATATTAACGAATAAAGAAATGTAAATGCTTACCTAAAGAACAATCAAGAGCCATCGCAGTGGCAACAAGAGCACCGACAGAGGCACCAGAAAATTTATTACGAACAATTTCTGGTAAATATTCACGGAAACAAGAGGCAACACCGACATGATAAATACCCAGGAATCCACAACCAGCAAAGGAAAGATTCATCTTTTCCACTGGAATATTAACATTATCTCGAATCATTATGTTCCTTTCCTCGCTAACCAAACAATTAGTTCGTTTTTTTTTGTTAATTCTCTTTAAATCAATTTAATAAATTCAATAGACTATCAGCCTTTAAACACTGTAGATATTTCAAAATTTTGGGTCAATTAAATAACAATAGAAAATAGAAAATATATACTCCGAACACTAGTTAAATAATTCACAGAATTCGCATAGAGAAATAATGTAATTATCAATCTCTTTCTGGCAATCAACTATTTTCAATCAGAATAAATAAATAACTGTGATTAAGAAGATAATTAACAAAACTGATTCTTTTGACTTTTACGCTTTTACGGTTTAATGAGAAAAGAAAAAAAAATTTTCTTTTCCAAAAATCACCTCATCTCGAATTCGCTTCCGGATTCGGTTATTCTTTTTAGCGCTCATTTCAAATTTTCTTTAATTTTCTCTCTTTTGATTGTTCTGTTTAAATCTATTGATAGGAAAATAAAATAAATTGATTACAAAATTAATTGGTTGATAGAAGGACATTTCAAATAGAAGAAATTTTCAATTTGATTAGTGATTAGAGACAGAACTGATTTTTATGGTCTTTTTTCCTTCGGTCGTTGTTTAATTGTTTAAGTTAATTGTTTTCTTTTTATGTGATTTATATTGTGCTTAGAGTTGGATTTTTTTTTGATTTGATTTGTTGTTTGTTAATGTTAACATGGATTCCAAAGTTTGAACTTTTTATCATGAGAACAAGAAACTATACTTTGATTGTCTTGAGAAATGTCAACACACATTACACGGGAATCGTGGCCTTCCAATTTTTGAATGTGAGTCCATTCTGGATGAGACCAAATTCTTATCGTATTATCGAAACCAGAAGTTATTATGAATCGGCCATGATTCTTTTCAAATAGAACTCCAGAAACTACTCCACTATGAGCTGCTATGGTGTATTCACATTTTCGCTCTCTGAGGTTCCAAATTTTTACCGTATTATCTGAACTTCCCGTTAAAATTTGATAACCATTTGGAGATATACAAATACTTGTTATCGATTGGGTGTGTTCCCCCATGAACATTATACATCGACCAGTTCGTAGATCCCAAACTCTACCAAAAGTATCTTCTCCACCGGTTGCTGCCAATGAACCATCAGGATGAAAAGATATATCGAAAACCTCTTAGAATGACCTTCTTGGTAAAGAACCTCCTCATTTGCTTCCAAATCCCATAATCTCCATGAATGATCAGCACAACATGTTCCTAAAAAACGTCCAGAGGGATGGAAACCAACTCGACGAACTCTATGTGAACCATGACCTTCCAAACTTCTAATAGGTTCTTCTCGATTTAAACTCCATAGAAAAACTGAACCATAAGCTCCCGAAGAGACCAAATTAAGAGTATCCGGTGATTGGGTCAATGTTGATTGAGGATGGAAAACAATTGACCAAGCAGGATCATTATGACCACGGAGAGTTTGAATGGGCTCTAAAGTCTCATGTGACCAAAGTCTACAAAGTCCACTCCTGAAATGAGTATAAAACGAATAGAAAACACTGAAATTGATGTTCGATTGAATAAAAATAAGATGAATTAAATTTTTAACAATTTACTAACATAGAAGCAGTTGCAATCATCGATTGATTTGGACTAAATTGGCAGTAAGTTAGTGGCCTTTTACCAGCGTCATCGACTTGACTGTAACCCGAATCAAAGGAAAGTAATTTCTTGTGAAGTGTTTGTCGATTTAATGTTCGTTGAGCTTCTGGAATGGCCTTTTCTTCACGAGCTTTATCCAACCTTTCCTTAGCTCTTTTAATTGAATAATCAGCGATCCAAAACCTTGCCTCTTTCAAACTGGCCGGACCTTCATGGTACCAAGTGGTATTAGTCTAACAGAAATTGGAAAAAGAATTGAATCAATTTACAATCAATTAAAGAAAGAGAACAATTAATCACTTACATCTCGTTCTTTCTCTTCACTTTTTTCTTCCTCTTTAGGTTTTTTAATTACTTCCTCTCCAAGTCTAGTTAAAAGTTGTCTTAATCTCTCCCTTCTGTCAGCTGGACCTTCACCAAAGATACCTAATTAAATGGAAACAACAAGATTACGATCAATAAACAATCAATGTAGCGATTAACAAATGGTAACAAAGAACAAAAAAAAAGTGAATCAACTTACAAATTGGTTGATTTAATTGTCGAAGTTGAGTTTTTACTTCTCCATCATCAACACTAACAGGCATTTGTCTACCTCGACGTCTTCTTTCAAATTCTTCAAGAATTGCCTTTCGACTTCTTGAATCTTCTTCAATTTCCATATACTCGGTAGAAATATTAATAGACATGATGGAAATTAAATAAATTAAATCCAACAAAATAACAAGTCAAACAAAAAAAGAAAAGAACAAAAATTAAAGTTAAAAAAATCAACACAAACAAAGAATCACAATATAGAAAGATGAGAATATTTGAAGAAATTGTCAATTCAGAATTGGAACAAATGACCAAATGGAACAAGACAATTAACCTGATCACCCGATGGAATCTTAAAGATCAATAGTGAACATTGAACAAAAATCAAGAGGAAAAATTAACTGGAAACAATTTAATTCTCAAGAGACAATTAAGTGGTTGAAGAAAAACAATAATCCGATTTGTTGGTTTTTCTTTTCAACATGTGTTCGATTCAATTTTCGCGCTTCCAAAAAAGAATTTTGGTTTCCTAGCAACAGAATTTTATAGAATTGTTTTTCTAATGATTAGTGATCATTGATTCTTGTTGTTAATTTATTGTTTCTAATTGTGAAAGAGTTTTTGTTTTTTAATTTTGTCAATTTTTCCATTTTTCTGTTTATTTGTGTTGTATTTTTATTCTAAAACTGTGTTATGCCTTCACACCGAAGTCCCACCAGATCGAGTAAGTCTGGTAACAGTAAAAGCCGAAAATCACCAGACCGGGAACGATCAAAGAAACATAAACACCATAGAAGTCATGAAGATTATGATGATCATCATTATCACCATCAACGAGATTCCCATAGGCAGCATGAATCATCATCTAGAGATAAATCATCGACTGTTACAAGTAATAGTAGTATAAGAAAATCTGAGAGCTCTTCTTCTTCGAGAAAACGGCAATATTATTCTTCTGGAGATGAAAGTCCTGAAAGACGAGATGATGGTAAAAGGTCTAAGGTACGATCAAAGGAGGATAAAGATGATGGTCGTGAAGGTACCAGTAGAAGGAGTGATTCTCATCGAGATTCTGTTAAGGTAGCCAAGGAAGATAATTCAAAGTCTGATCATCAAAAAGGTTTAGCTGATTTAGATAATGATGAGGATGCTGAAGATGCTGCTGCTTGGGTTATGAAAAGCCGTCAAATTGAAGAGAAAAGACTTGCGATTGAAAAGTTAAAAGCTGAAAGAAAAGCTCGTATGTTGGATGAAATGGACAATGAGATTGATAATCAAGTTGCTGATCGTAAACCAAAAAATATCAATGAACTTTACTCTGAGAAAGACTTACAAGGATTACAAGTTGCCCATTCAGAGAAATTTCTCAAAGAAGGTCATCAGTTTATCATGACACTTAAAGACAAGGAAGTTTTAGATGAAAAAGATGATGTTCTTGAGAACGTTAATCTGGTTGATCTTGAAAAAGCCGAAAAGAACATGGAAAATAAATTAAAGAAGAATGAATATCGTCCATATGATGAACCAGAATTTGATGAATTTGGTATTCTCAAGAAGAAGAATATCCTCGGAAAATATGACGAGGAATTAAATGGAGTGGAAAGAGAGACCTTTCAAATTGGCTCATCTATGGATCGAGAGAAAGAAGCTGAATTGATTCGTGAAAAATTGCGACAACAAGCCGGTGTAATATCATTGGATACACCTTCATTTAAAGTGGCCTCTGAGTATTACACGGAAGAGGAACTGGTCAAGTTTAAGAAGCCAAAGAAAATACGAGCCAAGCTAAAAAAGGGTAAGAGAAAAAATATTTCTGAAAGTATAATTTCTTATGATTCGAGTGATGATCATGGTTCTAGAAAGAACAGGACCACTGCCACCGAAACTGCCGCCCCCATGGAAATTGATGACATGTCACCTTCTACAAGTACAAAAACAACACCGACAGTTGGTCATTCGGGTTTGAAATTGGATATACCTGATGAAGAAGATCAATCAGAATCAGACTCAGAACTACCTGATGTTGATCTTTCGGGTATCCTATTCGAGGAACAGGAAGCTGAAGAAGAATTTCGTCGATCTTTGGAAAGAGCTAAGAGATTGAAGGAAAGAGATAATGAAAAGAAAGAGGAAGAAGAAAGAATCGCCAAACTGATCGCTGAACGTGAGGCAATGATCAAGAAAGAGCAAGAAGATGACCTAGAATTACCTGGTACCTCTCAAGGTAATCGATCAACAATTATTCTCAATTCAACCGCTGAGTTTTGTCGTAATCTTGGTGAATTTTCAACATTTAAAGAAGAAGATGGAGATGATGACGATAATGATGACTTTGAAAAAGATGCGATAGATGAAAGGAAACATCAAGTCGATATGATAACAGAGAAAACAAGTGATGAACCAACCAGAGGAACATGGAATGAGGTAGATATGGAAGCTTCTGTTGCCTCTTTTGATTCCAATGATGCTACGGCTGATCCAATGCAACCCATTCTAGAAGAAGAGCCTGATGTTAGTCTTGGAGTGGCCGCCGCTCTTAAAGTTGCTATGAAAAAAGGTTATCTTGACAAAGAACCAAGAAAACCCATCCCAGGATCGAGACATTCGAGTCTTCAAGCTCAAAATTATACAATTGAAGAAAAGTTTTACGATGAAGAGAAAATGGGTCGAAGAGGTGACCGTTACAATGGACCATTATCCGATTTCAAAGAAAAAGATGGCTACAAACCAGACGTTAAATTAGATTATGTAGACGAAAAGGGTCGAATGTTGAACCAGAAAGAAGCTTTTCGAGTTCTATCCCATAAATTCCATGGTAAAGGTCCAGGTAAAAACAAAATCGACAAACGAATGAAAAAACTTGACCAAGGAGAAGTAAGTTGACTATTCTTTTTTCATTCTAACCTTTTCTTCAAACCATAGACAATTAAAATTAACTTTTGCTAATCTTTTTCAGAAATTACGGCAAATGCATTCAACGGACACTCCCTTAGGAACCTTAAAGTTATTACAAGATAAACAAAAAGAGCTTCATGCTCCTTATATTGTTCTTAGTGGAGCCTCGTAAGTAATTTATTCGTTTTTTCCTCTTAATTGTTATTGCTTAGTAAATTCATATATCACATTCTCTTTCTCTTATAGAACATCATTGGCAAAAAAGTGATCATCTAATTGCTTCAATCGACCTTAATTAATCTTCAATATAAACATCCCAAAGAGTAACTTGATCCATAAATTTTCACCCTTAAACTCTTATACCAATTGGATGATCTTTTCTACTGTGTAATAATCCTAATTTCCTAACTATGTAAAATAATATTAATCAACTACAAACTAAATCTAAAAACCTTTTTGTGTACAATTAATTGTCAAAAATATAAAACAAGTCAATCATTTATATTGTTACTTAAATTAATGTTTATCCGGTCTTTAAGTTAACCATCTTGTCATATGAGAAGATCAAAATTATTAATAACAATCAATTTTGTCGACAATTTATAGTAATTTAGTTGTTCTTAATTGAAAGAACCTCGAATTTCCAATGAAACAATTCCATTTAATTAAGAAAACTGGAAAAGTTAATTGGAAGAAAGTTCGATCTATCGATAATCGAAAATAATGTTTACATTTGGAGAGAGAATTTTTTTTCTCTCAAAGTATTAATAGAAAAAAATTTCATTCTCTTCAATCATTAATGTTTTTCTTAAATTGTTACAGTTTATTAATTCCTTCAAGTGTTACAACCTTATTTTCTGATTTCATTGGATCAATTATTCATTTAGAATCATTTGATTATGATGGAATCAATTGAAATGAAAGACTTTAATAGTCTTAATATTTCATTGATTATGACCTTCCTTCAGTGTAATATTACTTAACTATCGTTGATTACTAATCAAATTATCTCATTACTTGTTTTCTTCTTGTTTTTTGTAAATGTTTTTCTTTAAGTTTACGTAACTTCACATTCTCTGTCAATTTGATCATTTTATCAAATTTCTCTCAACCACAATTAACTTGTAACAATGACTTCTACTCCTAATTCACGTTACCTTTTACTATTTCTTGGTATTCTTACCTCGCCTTGATCTATTATTTGGAAAATTTAGAAGATCGAATTTCAAGTCTTGAGAGAAAAGCTCTTCTCTCTTCTTATGTAAATCGTCAAACCTTGGATGAACCTTCACCAATTTTATCTCCATCATCATCAGCTTCTTCCTCGCCATCTCTATCTTCACTGTCCACTCTTTCTGTGTCCATTATACAAGAAAACAATCAACATACTCAAGCAATTGATTCAAGTGAAGATCGAATCATCATCTACAATCGAGTTCCCAAAACAGGGAGCACAAGCTTAATGGGTATAGCTTACGATCTTTGTGGTTCAAATAAATTTAATGTTATTCATTTGAATACAACTAAAAATAGTCACGTACTCTCATTACCTGATCAAGCGAATTTTGTCCAAAATTTAACCTCTTGGAAAGAAAGGAGACCAATGATTGTCCATGGTCATCTATCGTTTCTCAATTTTGGTCAATTTGGTGTAAAAGATAAACCAATTTACATTAATATGGTTCGTGAACCTTTGGAAAGACTCATATCTTATTATTATTTCCTGCGAAATGGTGATGATTTCCGACCTTATCTGGTTCGTAAAAGACAAGGAAACAAGGTAACCTTTGACCAGTGTGTCGAAAGACAAGAGAAAGACTGTGATCCCAACAATATGTGGCTTCAGATTCCTTTTTTCTGTGGCCATTCAAACGATTGCTGGTCACCAGGTAATAAATGGGCTCTCGAAGAGGCGAAACGGAATCTCATTCAACATTTCATGGTGGTCGGTGTAACTGAGCAAATGCATATGTTTCTGGCGGTTCTCGAATACACTTTACCTAAATTTTTCAAAGGTGCCTTACATCTTTACGAGAATGGTAACAAATCTCACCTTCGCCGGACCATAAATAAAATTGAACCTTCACCTGAGACCATTGAAATAATCCGTCAATCAAAAGTTTGGCAAATGGAAAACGATTTCTACACCTTTGCCTTGCAGCAATTTAATTTCATCAAACAACGGACTCTCCTGGCTAAAGGTGAATCAACTTTCACCTTCACTGGAAGACAGTTTTTCTTTGAAAAAATTCGACCTCGTCATTAATTCATCTTCTATTTCCTATCTTGATGTACATAAAAGTTTCCCCGATGTAATACAACTCAACTTTCCGGTTATAATCTCACTTCTTATCATCACCATCATCACTTATAAATATCTTCATCTTCATCTTCATCATTTTTACGTTACTATCCGAGTGCCATTGTATAGTCATATACTTCAAGCTTTGACATTCCATCAAAAAAAAAGAGGAAAATTCAAGCTACTTTTCAACTTATTCTCCATGAGATCAAGTATTATCGCCACGAACCGAGTGGAAATTTCAACATATCTTGAACAATTAAATCAAATTAGTAGTTCCTGTTTATCAAGAGAGAACCATTTTCTCTGTTATCATCATAATCTCACCGACTCTCATATACATTGAGAGAAATAAACGTCTAATACCAGATAATTTACGGCACTGATTAAATGCTAATCATTATGAAAGCCCAAACTAATTAAAAGATGACATAAGATCTGGAAAAATATAATCACCACATAATTATCATGTGTATAATTAATGACCTCAACCGATGAACATAATATTATGTAATACAAGGCAACTAATGTTAATTCATCTACGAACCAAAACATATCCATCATAACAGTTACTCCATAGCCTTGAATTAAGCTCTAATTATCAAAAATTTCAATTAATGAACACACAATTCTGATGACTAGTAACTCAACAATCAAGAAATTTTGACAATTTTTAAATTACAACCATCTATCTCAACTTGATCTTATAACTGTTCATCAACTTCACCAATCAAAACACAAGCACAATCAGCTAATATCTTGCAATCACAATTGAGACACTACATTAATACTTTCGTCCGAATATGTATTATCATTCAAATTTTTACTCTTAATCATTTAGATTTAAACTAAACAATTAGTTTAATTGTTAAAAGGACAATTCCAAGCTCCATTCCAATGAATCTCATTTTTATCACTAAAAACCCTCTTTTACCCACATAACTAACTCTAGATTGGTATTAATTTTAATCATAAAATTTTTCGCAATCAATTAGCTTCTAAAAATAATGTGTAATTAAAATCAATATGTAAATCATATTGAAATTGAATCCGTTGCAATAGAGCAAGAATAAAATCAACAACAACAAAATAATAAATTGTATTGCGAACAAGAAAACAATTTAAAACAGATTAATTTACCAAGCATAATAATCAACAAGAGTAATAACAATTAACTAATTTTTCGGGAAATTTCGTTTCGCTGGTAAGATTGTTGATCGAGGTCGATAATTGCCAATAACGGAAGCATTAAAAGGCCTGAGATCGGCGACCGCCGATTCCGATGAATTAAAAGTATTCGCCATTTGCTTAGTTAACTTGGAGTATTTCAATTCGGGCTGTTCGACACTCACACTCCCACCGCCGCCGACACTTCCGCTGACACTTCCACCGCCACCAGTTCCACCTTCGTTGAGAACAATTTCCTCGGGTTCCTCCTCTGATTCAACTCTCATGTTAACTGGAAATCGACTCTCCAATGTGTAGAAATAGTAAACATAAGCTACGATCATACCCAAAGTGTCCAGTGAGCTGATGACCAGCAAGATGATTGCTAATAAACTGAACTCGGTATTTGATGAGTTGCTTTCATTTGTTGAATTTGAAGGTAATTGTAACAATTGAGATGGGATCAAATTTAAAGTATTGGGATTGACAAGATTCATTGAGAATACAAAGTGATCATTATTTTGAAGGAAAAAAACAAAAACCTGATGAAGGAAATAAAATTATACAATTAAATCCAATTGGTTTAGTTAATTGGGATTCTAAAGGCAATCTATGCAAATCTTTTTGTTAGACTCCTAAAATTATTAATCAACCATTCTGATTTTCTTATTCGGGATAATTGATTGATGATCATCAGAATCAAATTAACTCAATTTGGAAAATGAATTCAATCTTATTCTAATTCTGATCTTGATTCAATTTCAATCGGCGACATTTCTATTGGATTGGGCGATATCATCGAGTTTAAGACTTATTGATTGTTCATCTTATCGAATTTAAAAAATGTTCGATTTAAATTCGAATTCAGACTGGCTATCAATCGAACTTGTCGGACAAGGAATCGAATCAACTGATCTTATGCGCTTTCAATGCCTCGAAATTGACAACAACAATAAACCATTTGATGGACTTTACGAGTATCGAAAAAAAGTTTTCCGTTAAATTGGTCATTCCTTATGATTCATATGTACTTAATGACTCAAGTGAATCAGAAACAATTGAATGAGCAATTAAGATCAAATAAAAAGACAACAACATTAATCGAAATCGATACATTAAAAACAAATCAAAAGAAAATGATATTACCTTTAGAATAATTTTCTAAAAGATAGATTTTCCAATCGAGATAAAGTTGATCTAATGAATTGAAGGGAAGTTTATTTTCTGTAAATTAAATAAAATAATTAGTAAAATTATTAATATTAATTCGCAGAAAAGTTCTAATGATCAGATAGTTTCAAATTTGGAGCTTCGTAGAAAAGATTTCAAGTTATTCTATCTAATATTAGATCATGACAATAGAGAAGTGATCTTGATCCATCACTTGATTCTCGCAACTGTCAGATTTGTGTTGTTGTTTTCGTATCAACAATTAGAATTTGTGGTCATTTTAACCCGAAGTTTAATCGACTTTCTGATCAACTAAGCGGCCATAATTATGTCAACTCGTGAAAACAATAGCAATAAAAAGGTAATTGAATGTCAATTTCTCTGAAAATTCATCTTGATCATCTTTTGTTTTCATTTACATCTTCTTATCTTTATTATTGTTTACACTTTTACTCTTCCTTATTGTTATTATTGTTTTCATATTCTAGGATCCAGTGAACAATTTTATCAGACCTTGGACAATCAAGAATATCAGTCAAATCATCAAAGTGAGTAGTGGAAATTTCAGTGGAGTCTCAAGTGAGTCGTTCGAGGTTTTCAAAAGTGTCGCAAAAATGGGACTCGATTGGACTTTGAACGATAATGGTTCGTGTGTTTTGACTCCATCAGTTCATCTACGTGTTAATTATCCGATTAATGTTATGTTACGAATGGTAATCAAATGTTCACGATTCTCATACGAACTACAAGACGGCCTTCCATGGACAGTGGTTCCTGATAGAGTCAACATTTGGGAAAATACTTGTAAACTCGACCTGAATGAATTTTTAATCGACGATTCAATTACCCTGGTATTGGAGATGGTACATCTTATATGTACTGATGAAATTAATAAGGAAAAAGTAGAAGAAGATGAGGCAATAATAGCGAGTATCGAAGATCGATACCTTAAAATGTTCAAAGAAGGTGATAGAACCGATTTTACCATAATTGTTGATGATCGCGAGATAAATTGTCACAAGTGTGTCCTACAAACGGTCTCATCGATATTTGAAGAGAGAGATGAAAATTTAACCGAATCAAGTTTAACCCTCAACATGTATGATTATGATTGTATTTACGAGTTTGTACTGTTCATGTACTCGATGGACGAAACTTGTCTTTCTCTCAAAAAGTATGCCAAGCATTTCTTAAGTTTGGGCGATTTGTATAAAGTGCGACTTTTAAAAGCGGCAGCGGAATCGCACCTTCTATCGACGATCTGCTCGGCAAATGCTCGTAGTTACGCTTGGCTGGGACTCCAATATAACGCTCGTCGATTGCGACGTAAGGCCGAAGACATGGCGACTTAATTTATTCCCTCCCGTTAATTTCCTAATCGTTTTATTTATTTGGTCAAGTTAATCAACTCAACTCAACTCAACTTTTACAAGGAAATAGCAATCAAGTTGAATTAATTCAGTTTCTTCTTGAAATATATTCTATCATTTTGACAATCAATTAGATTGTTTCGTCTTCGAATTCAATTTAGTTGACTTAATTCATTTTCTATTTATCATCAAGTCTTTTTAATCTACTTTCAATTCGTCATCAGCTAATCCATTGGCTTAATCCTTTCAATCCGAAAAGGTTTAAATGTTTAATAGCAATTAATTGTTAATTTGCTGTCTATTTATGCCTTAGTTTGAATTCTGTTAAATTACTGTTTATCTTTTCATTTTGTTTTGCTTTTTTCTTTTCAACAATTAAAATGAGACTTTGATTGTGATCAAATGTTGTTTTAACCTTTACAATAAATTAGCTTTAATTCAATTTACAATTGGTAAAAGTAGAAAGTTATTTACACGTTCAGTGAGTTTATTATTATTCTGTTGTTTTTGATTTCTTAATTGGAGGGTTAATTGTTTCGTCTTCATCTGATTCATCCTCTGAATCGGAGCCATAATCAACTAAACATGTTTTCATAATTGGTTGATTAACTTTTGATTCGATTTTCATCAATTTATCAGCTGATTCTTTGGATGAGTTAGTCTTTGATTCATTTATTTCTTGGTGTTTACTTGCACTTTCACCTTTTACTTTTTCATCTTTTTCCACCGGCGGACAGTTAACGTTTTCTGGTGTAGATGATGAGGGATTTTCTTTACTTTCATGTGAAGGTGTTTTCTTAATTTTGATTAGATTGGCTAAGGATCCGTTGAGAGTTCGTTTGGTTGATTTTCTGGAGAGACATTTCAACGAGAATGTTGATTTGAATTCGCTTATTTTGGATTCTTGTTCGTCTTTGGTTAGTCCTTCGATTGCTTTTCTAAATTCTTCCACGGCTGCTCTTTCTTCACGAAGTTTGGCGATTTCTTCGTCCATTTTGTTCTTGTCGACCATTTCAAGGAACGCAGTTTCGTCCGAATCCAGGACACAGATCAGATTTTTAAGTCGACGGGACTCTTCAAACTCTTCTTGCTTTAAAATCTTTTGCTCTTGTAGCCTATCGAACAAAGATCTCGGATCATATTCTGGTTCTGGTGCCTCTGTAATCAGAGAAAAGAGCACAGAAAAGAAAATAGAAAAGGAATCAGATCAAATACACTGTTTTATATTCAGAAAGCGAAAACCAAATCAACTCAAAATAGAAAAAAAAAATTATCTTACCTTCAGGATCGTCAGGTTTTCTCACCTTTTCCCATTCAGCTTGGCGAGTTTTTCGATTCTCTTCCAATTGATTTTCACTGACAAAAGTCTTAAAACTCATTTTAGATAAAAATTTTGTTAGATGAAATCAGGACAATTAAAAGATAAAATAAACAAAACGACTCAAAATACAAAAGAGTCTCTAATCATCAGCTGTGAACTAGCGATTTCGATTTTAGATTTTCAAATAATCGATTCTAACAAAATTTGGTAAAGGCTCAAGATTTAATTAAATTTAAAATGAATGGGAAAATGATTTGAGTTAAATGATTTTAATTGAAAAACGTTATTTAAGTCACAGTGTTTTTTATTGTTAAGTGGAAAGGATTGATCAAAAAAGCAAAGTGAAAAGAAGAGTAGAAATGAAGAGAAACAGGTAGGTATAAAGAGAGAGATTAAGCTTTAGTTAATATTAGTTATTTGGTTAATTGTGTGGGTCTGATTGTTTTTTTTCTCGTTGATAATCATAAAAATATGATTAGAATTCATCGTTTCTTTCCAATTCATTGAAAATTCTCCCCTTTTTTTCTTGAGTTTCTGTGGTGAAAATGTTTACAGGGTTTGATTTTCTCCAAACATCTCATTTAAAATGAGATTTATTCATCATCACCATAACAACCACCCGATGGATCAGATTTTTCTTTATCGAGTTTGATTAAATCATCAATTCGTAAGATAGTGATTGCAGCTTCAGTTGCAAATTTGAGTGACTTAATTTTAGACATTGCAGGTTCTAAAACACCGGCAGCAACACTGTCACGAACGGTACCTTCTGAAAGATCAAGACCATACCATTTGTAGTTATTGTTTTCGGGTTTGGTTTGGGAGGTGTTATGATAAGCACGAAGTTTAGCGATTAAATCGGTTGCGTCTTGTGCCGCATTAACAGCCAATGTCTTTGGAATTACGAGCATGGCTCGAGCAAATTCAGCGATTGCCAATTGTTCCCTTGAACTAATCGAAGTAGCCAAATTCTCGAGATAGATTGATAGAGCAGCTTCAACGGCACCACCACCGGGAACAACTTTCTTTGATTCCATGACTCTTTTTACAACGTTAAGTGCATCGATTAAAGATCGTTCAACTTCATCGAGAAAATATTCATTTGGTCCTCTAACAATAATTGAACTTGCATTGTGATGTTTCATTCCTTTAATAAGGATAACCTCATCATCGGAAATACGTTCAACGACAATTTCTTCAGCCTCACCAAGACTTGCGGTCTCAAAGGTTTCATCGCCTTCCATGTTAGCCATGGTAGAGATCATAGTGGCACCTGATGCTTTAGCGATTTTCTTCAGATCCATTTTTCTCACCCGTCGTACTCCCATCGCACCAGCTTCGACCAGATATTTAGCACACATTTCATCAATACCACCAGTTGTGAGTATTACATTGGCTCCGGCGGCGATAATTTTTTGCATTCGCTCTTTAGCAATATCACATTCCCTATGCAATTTATTAAATAACATTATTATTATCATAATTATCAAGTTTACTTCGATTAAATCTTGAAATCTTACCGTTTTCTTATAGCTTCTAATTCAGCTGGTTCGTTGATCAATACTTGCACACCAAGTTTCATCTTAACCTTTTGAAGAGAAAAGTCCAAACATGCAATCTTTGCGTTCTTAAGCTGCTTGTTCATAGCTGAGACAAAAGGAAATAAATTGTTAATACTTAGCATAAAAGGAAATTAATCTAATTGATAAAAGAAGAAAAAAAATCAGAAAAAAGGCAATTCGAAATAATTTACCTTGATTAGCAAGGGAACAGTTAAGGGCGTAACCATGAACATTTATACTCTCCCTGGTGCTCTTTCCTTGGGCTTTAAGAATCCTAATGTTTTTAATTGGGTAAATAAACGACTTCGGGTCTTCAGCTTTAGCAAATTTAACGGTGTTACAAGCATCCAAGACAAGGCCAGCAAAGAAATCCGATTCACTGTAAAGGGGATAAACGGAAAGAGATGAAATAACAAGTTACATGTTGAGATTTGCTGATGAGTAGCTGCTTTAACTTACGAGCCAATTAATTTAGACGATAGACAAGTTTTAACAGCGTTTAGAACACATTCTTGCCCGATACTGTCGGTATCAATACTCATACAGTCTTGGATAAATTTACAGGCTTCCTTACAGGCCAACCGGTAACCACTAATAATTGAAGTAGGATGGATTTTACTAGAGACTAGCTCATCGGCATTTTTCAAAAGCTCAGCGGCCATTAATACCTTTAAACGAAAGAGACAAAAGTATAGATAAAAATTAGATAATCAATTTCTTCAAGTGATAAATCTATTGTAATGGAAAACAAGTTTAAATTGAAAGTGTAAAATTAATCTTACCCAAATTCTTGTCACGTAAATTTGGATAACAAGGGAAAAGAAAAAGGGTAGATTTTAGTGGAAAAGGAAAGAGAGACACAACTTACCACAGTAGTGGTACCATCACCGACCTCCTGATCTTGTAGATCAGCCAAATCGACCAAAACTTTGGCAGCCGGATGTTCAACCTCAAGAAGTTTAAGAATAGTCGCCCCATCGTTGGTCACGGTAACATCACCAATATCATCTACCAGCATCTTATCCAACCCAATGGGACCAAAACTTGATTTGATAACATTACTAATAGCCGAACATGCCATCACTAAAGGAAAAGACCAAACCAAAATGAAAGAAGAAAAAAAAACAATTATAAAGAAAAGAAAAAACAAAATAATTAATTGATTGAATGGCGAAAGAAAAGACAATAAAATTATTAGGGTGAGGACATGAAAGGAATAGAATAGAAAATAAAAAATTTCTTTTACCATTTTGAGTTCTCACAGAATTACCAGTGATTCTCTGTCCTTGGACAGTTAACATTCCAGTGGTTGACATTTTGTTTAATTAATAGTTGACAAGTATTAAAATATTAAATAATTAAAGTTAAATTAAAGATTAACTAATTAATCAACAAGAAAAATCCTCAAGACTAAACAAAAGGAAGAACCAACGTGTTGATATCCGATACCGAGAGAAAAGTATCGAATCTCCAGCGGATCCGATATTCGAATCCGTTAATCTGATCTAATGAACATTATTGATCATTAAACATGATTAGTTGATTGTTTAGCATTTTATGTATTTTTTTGTCTTATATTTGTATTATCAATGATGGGGTGGAATAGTTTGTCACGCGAAATATCATTTACATTGAATTAGAAGACAGAAAATCGAATCTGAACTCACTTTTTTTTTGCTAATTCGTTTACCTGATCATTTAAATTGATCAGAAACCTAATCAATTGTTTCAACCATTTATTACTATCTGGTTAACAATTATGATCCTAATGGTAACAATTTAACTGTATCAAGTCAATATCTTAAGATGAATTGATATAAACTACAACTGATCAAAAAGTTTACCAAAGTTCAATGTTTTGTGATAATTAACACAATCAATATGGTTAATGAAATTTGATTTAATTAATTAAACTCGTTGGTCAAAAAGGATAAACAATTTTACTACAATTAACTTCAATCAAAATGTTTCCCTACATGTCCGGGCGGAGGAATCGTAATCAAGATTACATGTTAACTAATTTACTATTTGATCCATTCAATGATTATCCGTAAGTACAATTAAACTTTAATTAAATCTAATTGTTGATCAAGAAAGTGGTTCTTTTTTCATTAACAGAATTATTTTTATCTGAAAAGTTAATCACAATCAACGATTTAGTTTTTTAATTCAGTTGATCTGATGATTAATGATTAGGATTTACAATCAACTAATCACACAAGAAAATTTAATAATCTTATCAACTGATCAACAATTAAAGTGAATGAAAAGTTTTTAAATTAATTTTCACCTCGTTTTTTATATAAATCAAAGTGATTTCCCAAAGGGAATTGATCATGATCAACAAATTGCTTCCCATTAAATTGTTGATTAAATTGAAAATTTTAAATCTCAACACCGATTCTCTGATGATTTAAGTTGATTAAGATGGTGAAGATTTAATCGAAATCATCAATTGTTATTATATCATCATAGCAATCTAAAGTTTCACCGAGATTTGAACAACAATCAAATCAACTGGGAGGTTAAAAAATAATAATCAAAATAATTGATAAATTGTTGCTATTTTATCAACTGAATTAAATAGTAACAATTTATAAATTGTCCTCCAAATTTACTGGTTGACTTATTAACCTAATTCTAAACAATTTCAATCTCTGTTAACCAATCAACTGATTAGTTGGTTGTACAATTAACCCAATCAACAATTAACTCGACAAATTAAAGATAAAAATCTAATTAAAATCTATTGAAAAGGATAATCATCATGTTTTATTTTTTCGAATTTTTTTACAACATTTAGAATTTCTAATTCGATGATAAACTAATCAATCGTTAATTATCATAAGGGAACAACAGTCGAAGCTTAAATTAGCTTATCAATAGATATTCGCCTTTCCCTCATTGAGTATAAACGGTTCGATGATTAGATAACAATTAATAATGAAAAAGATCAAAGATCGAACTGAACTTATTTCCATTCTCATGTAAATCATGAGAGTGAAGAACTGAAAAGAAAGAAACTTCCCTTTCGAAACTTTGATACACTGAAAAATTAGAACATGAGAATGGAAAAGAAAAAAAAATTCGAACCTCGAACTTTACACTTTCGAAACGAAATCTGTTCACAAATCAAAGGGTTCCAACGAAATTAGATCATAAATTAATAATCATCGAGTTAATTAACATTACAATCATAAAGTATTTCGAAAAAAGAACAAAAAATAAATTTTGAATTCGAATTAATTTTTGTTAAAATTATTCGAATCGAAAAAGAATCGGAAATAAAAAAAGTTCTGAAAAAGATTAACTTTTTTCATCTTCATGACGTTTTCATGGTTAAATAATTTATTCAAGATCAATTCAGCATTAAGAATTCACCATGAATCAAGAAAAAAAAGTGCTAATTATTGTCGATTATTAGATTAGAATTTAAAAATTAATCCAGTAGAAAAGTTCATTGATACTCATGAACAAATAGACTCATGATAATCAGAATCATTAATAGGATAGTTTAATGATCCAATGAAAATAAATTAATATGATTTGAATGTATAATAATATTGAAAGAGAAAAACATTTTTTTTATCATGAAGTAATCATTTTTTTCACCCAATTCTTTATAAAATATAATATCATGGGGATAAGAATCATGAATACCCTGAGTATTGAAACTGTTTCGCTTAGAACCTGCGTAGCTGAATAAGCTGCGTATGCGATTCTGATACTAATCATCATTCTCATCATCATCATCATGAAGATACCTTTTCAATTCTGAAAAAACTCAGAATTATCTGAATCTTTCAGAATGTGAATGTGAACTTTTTCCTTGTCTTCCTTCATGAAATTAACACTCAAACTTTTTTCCAAAACTGGATCAATATATTTATATAACAAAATAATAGTAGCGATTGAAATCACCATGAAATTCAGTCTGAATCATCTGATTAGATTGAGATTTTCATCAATTCTTTTCAGGGAAAAATTTAGGATTAGTATTGTCACCATTCAACCATTATAATCACTTTGAGTAATATTGATTGATCTCAATTGTAAATTGTAAATATTAGTTTATCAATTCAACTGGTCATCTTAAATTGATCACAATCAGTTGATTATCAAACAATTTTAATGTTCATGGCATTTAAAAGGATTTGATTGACAAGTAAACAAATCAAATCAATTTAATGCAACTTTTTATTTCAATTATGTGACAATCAATCAAAACCAGTTTCCAATACTTAATCAAAATAATCATACACTGATTATGGTTAACAATCAGATTGATTAAACTGGATTAAAACCATTGGATTAATAGCAAAGGATAATGATCATCATTTCTGTTTATTGTTTCATCAGTTATTCATTCAAAAGTTAACCTAAAGTTCAACAATTATCATGAACTTTCATGTTTCATTGAAACAATTGAAATCTCATCAATTTCGGATTAATAAATTGTTACGTCGATTTAATCAACTTGAAAAGTGTTAAGTGTACATTTAACGAGTTCGAGTTGGAGTTTAAAACTTTTTACTCTACGAGTGTTTAGTTTATTTCAATTGTTTCGAATTTGGAATTTTTTTTCTCTCTCTCTCACTTTTCCTCTTTTTCAAAAGAAATAAAATGAGTTCGAAAGTAAGTGAACTTCGACGTGATACTCTACCGGGACCTGGAACTTCGTACCAAGGGGCAAGTCGCTCTTCCCTCGGGTTACCATTTGATCCAACGCTTTCTGATCTTCAACATCGATTATCACGTTCTGATGAAAGGTAAGAACTTATAACTATGATAATGATTAGAATTCTGTTCCAACTAAATTGTTAAATTTGATTATCATGATGGGAGAAATGAATACCTTTCATTATCATGTCAAAATCGTTAATAATTATTAGCTAACAATTGAAGTAAATAGTAATATATGTATTTACTTTAGAGTGAGAAAATATTTGTTCTAGAATTTTTGTTCTTCTTTTCGAAAATTGTTCAAATTCCATTAGAACATTTCTTTTTCTTTCTATATCTCTACAATTTGGAGATTCCAACGACATGATGATTATGATGATATTATTTTAGAAATTCTCAACACCCTGACACTTTTTCAGCTGAGAAATCAAATATTCATGATATAGTTTAGAGCAGAATTGATTCAATATCAAAATAAAACATGATTCGAATATGAATCTTGGTTGGATTTAAAAATAAACGAATTCTTTTCTACTTTAATAATTTAAATTCCCAGAATCGTAATTTAAATAATCATAGTGTAATCAGCTCGTTAATAATGTCAACATGAAATTTAATTGCTGCTTTTCAGTTTCTACATTTGCGATTGTGACGAAAAACTTAGTTAACAATCAGAGAAAGAGAGAGAAGGACAATTAAGGTTTGTGATTAACGAAAATCTGATTATTCAATTGTAGCGATTAATTCTTAGTGATAATTTTCCATCTTCGAATATTGATTAGATTCAATTAGATGTAGCTAATTATCATAATACACAGATAATTGTTTAGTCAACAATTAAAAAAAGTTTCTAAAGTGAAAGTTAATTAGTGTTTACTTTTAAACTAAATTAAGAAGTTAATTAAAAACTTTTCTATCCTGATGATTTCTCAACATGTAAAATCAATTAGCTTAATTGTTCACTATCATGATGAAAAATTTTTGATAAATTGAACAAAAATAATTGACAATCAGCTTAATTTACAATTGAAAAGCTACTGATTAACAATTAACTCAGGTTAATTGTGTACCATTTTCATAAATCATTTTAATTGATTCAACTTAATCATTAATAACAATTGTTATTAATAGTGATGATCAACTTGTTAATTCATTTATCATCTTCAAAGTTAATTACTCTCCATGATTTGATTACAGTTAATGATTAAGGATATTGCTAAATTTGATTGTCTTAAGTATCAATAAGAGTTAATCATTTGATAATCAAAATCAATCACAATCAAAAATAATATTCTGACAACAATTAAATCACAGATTTGATTTAAGGTTAAAACAATATTCAAACCCGATTTGATTATAATTGTTGACAATTAGTTAATAAACAACGTGACTGTGATTGAATCATTGATTAATAATAATCTAATTTAAGATATGTTGATTGTCAATATTGATTGTTATCCTTTCATTATTTACATTAATTTACAATTTAATTAATTCCCGTTCACTCAAAGTGATAACAATCACTTAACATTTACAATCAACTATTGTAAATAAAGTTGATCAGTTTAATTATAATCAATTTTGAGTGTTAGAAATCAGCCAATTAGTCTAGATGGATTAAAGTTTTAATTACAATTTGAATATTTTTTTGAAAGTTATCAAAGTGATTAATTAATTGTTGTTGTTGCTTAAATTTAAGGTCTCATTTTCATTAATTGTTGTGTATTATCATTAATTGAGTTACAAGAACAAAAAAAAACTAATTAACAAAAGTTGATTAGGTTGATGGATTAAACCAAGTGTAACCTTTTACAAGCCAATTAATAATAACAGAGCAATCAAAAAGAAAGTGAAAGTTAATTGTTACACTGTAATTGATTGTGATAAAACCTACAATCAACTATTATACACAAGAGTTAATTGTTTAGTTATAACTAATAATTCAAAAGCTGAATTCAAATTTAAACAATCACAATGAACACCAACTTATTATTAAACATTGACCATTGAATTTGGAAGAAACTAAATTCAATTAAAATAATTAACAATACGAATTAGTAATTTAATTGTTTATTAATCATCGTTGGTTTTATATTGAATTTCAAGGTAATAGGATGAGAAAAATGTTCAAATATTAATACAAGTATTCAGTTAATTGTGTAGCATCATAATATCATTATAAATGAATGACAACAAAGAGGATTCATATTATCATGAAAAAGTATCATGAAAGGTAGACAATGATGAAGATGATGAACAATAAGATGAACAAACAAAAAAAAATACTCATCATCTTAATGAAGATAATCATGATTCTGGTAACCATCATAAGTCAATTGGTAAATTGTTATAACAATGAGCCAAAATATGAATCTAAATTAAGAAAGTGAATGAAAGTTTCATATTGATTTTCACCATCATGATAACAACAAATGATTATAATGATGATGATAATGATTAACATGAAATTTAGATGATAATCATCATCATCTTATGTTGATTTCCCAGGAAGATGATAAAGATGATGATAAAATACATTAACCTAAACTAATCTAATCTGAAGGTAAGAAAAAAAAAGTCACCATGTTATTGAATTACATTGAAAATGAACAAATAATAAGATAAATGTGTTCACAGTTTTTCATGATGAATTCAATTCATTTTGAAGATACATTAACTTTTCCATGAGTCAATTGAAGCCACTTTGTTTACATCATATTTGTAAGCTCATCATCTTCATCTTCATCTTCATCTTCTTCCCGTCATCATCCACCATGTAATAACTTTCTTATCATTAGTATGATGATAATGTAACGACTATATAAAGGTAAGAGGAAAATTTCATTCCAATTCAGAGTTTGAAACTTTCTTCTTCATCACTTATCATGATGATGACGATGCTAATGATTATATTAATAACGTTACAATGCAAAGGTTATTAACAATTTTCACCATCAGATTATAATATCTTTGTATTTATATTAGGGTCAAGGGAGTTGATTCATAGCCTCAGGCTTTCATCTTGTTATTTTGTTTTCCATCAATGATATGAATGTATTGTTTTTCCGCCGGTGGGAAAATTTTTTTTCTCACTTTTTAACAATGTGATACTTTTATCTACCATAGATTTCATATGATAATCTTGTTTCTTTGAATTTTCTTATTTCTTGATGTATTTTTATCATCATCTCAGGTTCAGGGGAATGATTGAACTTTCAGGATAACCTTATGATAATACAGTCTCCAGGGTAATCAATCATGTTCATGTTTTTAATTGTTGTCAAAAGTATGATGATCAAAAGTCAAATGTTATGACAGTTCAAAAGTTTCAGAAACTGTGACTTATATTGTATCTGATTATCTGATAATTTGATCTTAATAATAACAATCAAGACAAGAAAAAGATTGAGAGAGAAACAGATTCTGATAAATTGAATTCGATACGAGATTGATTGTAATCATTTTCTAAAAATTAACACAAAGTTTAATCAGCAGTCGATATTGATCTCCATGAAATCAATTGATTGCAAGAAAAAAAAATAGTGAGAGAGAGAGATTAAGAAACAATTAGAATGAAAATCAAAGTGTAATCAGGTTGAATGATTGACTGAACTTTCAAGTTCCTTAAGTTCTGGTGTTTATCATGAAAACCTTTTTTTCACCTCTGGTATACAAAGAGAATTTTAAACTTACTCATTTTCTATAATAGAAAAGTTAATTTAGCTCCTTGTTCTGAATTTCGGATTGACAGTAAACCGATTTTCTTAGTCTTGTTTGTGAACATCCCTGAGAATCCATGAGAAAGATAAAAAACAAAAGAAAAAAGTTCCAACTATCATGTTAGTAAATGTTCAGTGAACCTTTTAAAAGTATCATGATGATTTTGATTGTAATCATCATGGTAACTTGTCAATCTTTGGCCATGATGGCGAAAAGCTCAATGGGTAACCAGAACTCTTACCTTGAATGTGTATAAGTCAAAATCTCACAGTGGTTGTGATCGAGAATGAATTTTCATGAAACGTGAGGACCAAATCAGATAAATTGATAAATCAACTAGAATTCACTAAATAAGCTGATAAAAAATATCGGCAAGTCAGCTGACAATTGTACTAAGAGACCAAAGGAAATAAGCTGACCAATCGTACTTGGGTTTATCATGAAAAAAATACTCTTGAAACTGTATATTGAAAATTCATCCACCATGAAACAATATCTTGATATTATTGGAAAATATATATCATGAGATTTAACTTCAGAAAAGTTGGTTAATTCATTTACTTTAAAGTAGCATGAAATTTTCAATATCTCAAGAATAGAATTGAAATGAAGCAAAAAGCTTTACAAAAGTTCAGTCTCAAGTTCTGATTCTGTGGTAATTTTAATATTCATTTCATTTACTATTCTTTCTCATCTTCTCATGTTTATCCCCAAGATGATTATCCAACTGCCCTTTTTCATTTCAAATAAAAGCTCATAAAGTTGAAGAGAAAATTTTTTCTCAACCTTTTCCATCTGAACTTTTCTCATTCTCATCTCATGTTAATACTCTTGAGGTTTAATCTGTTTTTCTTCATCATGATAAATCCATGATACTCAGCTGAGTTACCATGTAAATTTTTTGAAATCCAACAACAGGTAAAAGAAGTTAAAAAAATTGTTCCTCTGAATACTTGAGATTGTACAAGTAAATTGTCACCATTAGAACCTGAATGTTAATGATAATTTTACATGAATTGTTCAGCTTAATCCTCATGATAATCGTTTGAGCAACAACAGCAACATGATACACATCTTAATTAAGATAATACTTTCGGCCAACAATCAATAACAATTAAAGTTCAAATTTTTATTCGTATTCATTAATCATCGTGTTTGGATTGAGCTTGAAGGAAAAAAAGTTCTGACAGAACAATTTTCCACCCTTAATATTTTGATATTCAATAAATTGCCTATGATGATAAATTCATAGGAAGTGATGATGATATGAAGAAAAAAAAAGTTCTGATGTGATTTATGAACTTACAATAACTGCCATGAAATTTTCTAACATAATAATAGTTTCCTTGGAAAATTAATTCATGAT